GGTCCACAGCACAACATCTCCGGGTCTGATCGATCTCAGAGCTGCACCTTCGAGACCACCAACAGTCCCGGAACCCCGTCTGAACCCACCCAGTGTCGGTAGGTCATCGTTCCCGGCGCAAGCAACAGTCGGTACCGACACAAATCCATGCAGCGGTGCTGGAATTCGGCCCTTCGCTCTATTTTTTATGTGTATAACTCAGATTTTTTTGCTTCCCAGTTTTTAGAGCTGCAGCTGTAGAATGAATCCGAAGGCATGTAGAAAAGGGATACAAACATGAACGAGTGTTAAATATATGTGTGCAGACATATATATATATATATATATATATAATTTGTGTGAATGACTTTTTGGTTATCAAATTGAATACATCTTTCATTTAGTTGCCAAAATGTAAAGCTGTTATTTCGAACGTACTATTTTTGTTTATGTGTTTACTTTTTGAAAAATGTATGACAGAAATATTTTTCTGTTTTCGATATCATACATTTTTTTGTACACAGGTATGTAGGTATGAAGAAGATTTCAGGTTTACCCTTTTTCTATTGGGTCAATTGTGCTTGTGCATGTTTCTTAAGGTTAAAATAAATTACAATTTTCAACGGACTTTTTTATTTTTTCAAATTAAAATATACACAGTTGCATTATTGTCAATATATATATATATATATATATATATACATATACACACACACACATAAGCATACACATGAAAAATAAAAGATAAACTTTTCCCTGGATTTGTTAATACAGTTTTGTACCTGAGTCAACACCCAAATTATTCAGAATTTTCAATTATGCAAACACAAGTTTCTTTGTTTATTCTTAAAAAATAAATAAATAAATAAATAAAATTGCCATCATTTTATGAGTATCCCATTGTGTACAAAGTCTGTAAAAAACATTCAAAAGAAATTAATCAACATCCATTCATTGAAAATGATAAACCACTGTAGCCAAAAATGGGAGATTCCATTGGAATGCACCACTATCTCTTGCAATTTTATTTATTTATTTAGTTGTTTATTTATTCTTTCCTTATTTCCATGACACCAATATACTCATTTCATTGTCCAAAATGAGTGTTCCTCAATTCAGCAATTTGAGCTACTTGACAACCAACTCTCTGCACAAAACAAAATATTTTGATAATGGAACAAACAATAATCAGATAAATCATAATGAATGTATGAATTTAAATACAATCACAAGGTCTCAAATAATGTGACATTGAGTCAGCAGCTTTGCAAACTTCAAAAATGTCCCAAATAACAAACAAAACTCTGCACAAAAATAAACTGGATGATCCAAAAAGTAAAAGTAAAAGAAAAAACATTAAAAAAATGAAAAAATAAATAAAAATCAATCCTCAAAAGTTTCCACCATAAAAAAAGGAAAAAGAAGAAGGAGCATCCGATCAAAAACAATCAAAAACATTCCGTATGGTGGTTTGGATTGTAGCTCAATAGTACGTCACCACATGAAACAAACAATGGTAACACACTCACCCATCCATCCATTCATTCATTCATTCATGCATTCCTTCATTCCTTTTATTTCCACACACACATTTATTTTTATTTATTTTTTGCCAATCAAACATTTCTTATATTGAATTCCATGGATTCTACTCAAATGCCATGTTCAAAGAAACAATTCACTTGGAAAATTGTCATTTCACTCCTACAAGCATTAACTCTCTCTCTCTCTCTCTCTCTCTCTCTACACACATATATATATATATATATATATATGTGTGTGTGTGTGTGTGTATGTATATATAGATTGGAGTGGGTTTCCATGGCGTAGTGAGTGGGGAGGGGGTCTTAGTGGGGGTGACTTCCCATGTATATATGATCACCAGTTATGCAGGCTGACATTGTTGTCCTGGCACACTCACTCACTGGGTTGTGTCACATCCATCCATTTCCATTTCCATGCAAACCCAACTTCATCTGCGTGGGAGTCGCATCATTATAGCTGCGCAGGCAGGCAGGCACCCACAAGGATCTGTCATTGAACCCCCCCTCTCCCAGTGGGGAGGAGGACAGTTCCACAGTGGAATTTGTCACCTGGCTGGGTTGGAAGGGGTGAGGGAGTGTAGTAGGTACCATGGGATCGATCCCCCTCCACCTCTTGGCCCCTTTGGTAAGCCCCCTTCCCCTTCTCCTTCTATTCTATTCTATTCTGTTCTCCTTCTCTTTCTAGTTCTCTTCTTCCCTTGAAGTTGTAGTACAGGAGGACATGGGCCATGCCAATTATCCCCCAGTTGACTTCTGCTTTCACTGGCAAACCCCATCAAGAAGGCATTAATATAGTGACTCTCTTGCACATTTCTATAATAAAAATCACTCCTTTGGTTCTTTCTATGTATCAATCTTGATTACAACTTGGGTCCGGATGTCATCTATCTTCACTTGTTTTCTATGAAAAAATATACATTATCCCTGTATGCATATGAAATTTTGTTATGTTTTGAAATGTTTTCATGAGGAATTACTTCAATATGACATATTGAGTTATTTTTTTAAAATGATACAATGTAATATTTGTTTCTTAAAGTTCTCTTGAATGATACCTAAGCATCTAAAAAATAGCCATTATTACTAAGAATTATAAATATGTTTGTAAATATATAATCTAATTTTAGTAGAATTTTTATATTATTTTCTACATGTAGATCAATGTTTTGTCAATTTAAGCTTATAGTTTTACATTTCATAAGAATTTTAACAAATAAACAAATAAATAATTCCTAAAGCGTTTTAAAAATTGGCTGTAGTTACAAAAGGAAAGAATATTATTTTCTGAAATCAAACGCCTTTCAATAATAGATTCAAAGAGCATTAATTATATCTATGTTTTTAAAATTCACATTATTAGAAATAACACTTGCCAAGTTACGATTTTATACTTCAATCTATCATAAGACAAAAATAACATGTAAAAAATAATATTTTATTTGAAACTTATTGATTGAGTTTCTCTCATCTTCTCTTATTTACTTTTATGAAGCATTAATTTATGTGATTTGATTACATGAGCTTAAGTTTATTAATAATTTTATATATATATATATATATATATATAGATACATATTAAAGGGTAAATTTTACCTAAGAATCTAATAGTTAATTAAAACTTTAATTATATTTCAATAAGGATGTAAAGTACATGATTTTCATGGGATTTTAAATTGGAATAAAGTAATACCAACATAATTTTGAATATCAATAAATTGATTTACGACATATATATATATATATATATATGTATATAATTTGATACTTTTATTAATCACTTACATTTGAATTTGTTGTTACTGATTGTCAACAAAATTGGAAATTAAATTAATTTATCTATTTATAAAAGTAAAAATAAAATATTATTATACTAAAATACTTGTAAGTATGATGTTAAAGAAACAAGAGCCTGTCTCTTTTACTGTCCTGAAATAAGAATTTATTTAGATAAAGACACTCTTTGACTATCATAATTTGAACCTTCAGTTGAGTTATAAAAAATATATATATCACCATGTTTGGATAAATCTCTTGTATAAATGAATACTTTTTTGGAATATTGTTGAATTTTATGTATTGTTGTCATTGTTAAATTGCACATACATGATCCACTTGCAAAAACCCATGTGCCCCTTAGTATAAAAAAATGACAAAGTAGTTCCAAAGTCTTCCAAAGTGGAGAATACTTTTACAAAAGTTATGATAAGTGTATGATTCTTTGTGCACTTTGTGGCAATGACTGCAAATACCATGGAATTATTGCTTATGCAACACCACTCACATGACAAAATATTAAACTAAAAACTTGACAACAAGTGCTGGCTAATGGAGGATGATGTGTTTGTGGCTTTGGCTTGCAAGCAAGAGAGCCTTTTGTGGTACTTTGAGTCTTGGAGTGTGGCACCTCTAATAATTGGCCATGGTGGAGTACATGATTTACAGCATAGTCCTTTTCCCATGAATATATGTACTTTGCCTCCATTAATGAAATGCTTTTTTTTTTTCCATTTATATATATACATATTTCCTTTTTACCCAATGTTATGTTGTCTCTACCACTGTAGAGAGCACTGAACCCCATTCTTAAAAAATAAAAAATAAAAAATGATAGACCATTTATTTGGTTTAAATCAAATTTACACATCCATTTGTTTTCCACAAGTGCAACATAGAAAGACAGAAGAGAAGCAGAGATAGGGGAAAAAAATATGACAAAATGACATTGAATCCAAGTTAGAATACAAGAGCTCCATAACCCAAGAAATTGAGAAACGCTGAAATTGACTCTATTCAGAATTTCATGCTTAGTCACGAAACTGCTCAAATCATATGCTTAGACCACTGAAATTGACCTATTTGAATCCAAAATAGCAGTACACTAGTAATAAAAAACAGTATTCAGCTCGTGGAGCAACAAGACGAGGATAAATGCACCACTCAAACTCTGCTCAGTGAAAATGGAATTCCAACTAAAGATGTGAGTTAGTAAGTGAGTGAGTGAGTAGGGGGATTGAGAAGAGATATGTCACCGCCAGTATAAGAACATCATGCTGGAAGCGCGGGACCATAACCCACACTGGGGAAGACCCGGTTAACCCACGGGGGGCGATGGGGAGGGGAGCGATGGAGGGCGTGGGCAGTTCTAGTTCACCGAAACCCGGCCTGGAACAGAAGAAGAAGCCAGGGAGGAGACTGACTAGCAAATAGTAGGGCGGGGGGGGGGGGGGGGGGTAAATGCCCAAACAAAAAAAAAGCCCCTTTTTCCGTCGCTGGGGCTAACAAAGGAAAGGGAGGGGAGCTGCTCACGAGGGGCGGGGGGTCCGCAGGGAACAGGCCAGCGCACAACACATGAGTCCCCCGTCGCCCCCGCCACGTGCGCCGCATTCCCCGTACCCCAGGCCAGGTCCTCCTCTCCCCCCCCCCCCGACCCGTCCCGTTCCCTCCCTTCTCTCTTCCCTTTCCCTTTCTCCTCCCCCCCCCCTTCTCCCTTTCCTGCTCTCTGCCTGTTGCTGCTGCTGTGTCTGCCTGGATCTTGGCCATCTTCTGTGCTGGTTTCGTCTTCCTTCGACTCGGATTCTTTCCTGCTGTTCTTTCTTTCGATCCCTTCCTTTCCGTGTCTTCGGGGTCTGATTCTGAATGACAAGGCCGCAAAGGAGGCGTTAGAGCTTCAGAGTGGAGGGGCAGTCAATTCTGCGTGGGGAGACACTAGGTGCCTGCGAGCGCCATGGGCCGCGCTCCGTGCTGCGAGAAAGACAGCGTTAAGCGGGGGCCCTGGACGCCGGAGGAGGATGCCAAGCTACTGGCCTGCATTGCTCAGCATGGAACTGGAAGCTGGCGCACGCTGCCGAAGAAAGCTGGTACCGGATGCTAGCTCATTCAACGTCGTGAATTCATTCTGTGCTCGCGTCCATGAACATGCAGTGTTCGGACTCATGATCGCTGCCTTGTTATATATAACGAATGAGTCTGTGTTTTTGAGCGAAGTTCAACCGGAAAGTGACCTCGTGATGATCTGAGGATACTCTTGAGGAAAATGGCTTTGAACAGTGGAGATTAGAACCTCCGTTGCGAGTAATCGGTTGTTCAGTTCGGGTGCATGCATCGCTTACATCTCCTTATGTTTCAATTGGTTTACATCCTTCCCGATTTCAATTGGTGTTCATGATAAGACTACATATCTATACTCCCCGGTTCATAATATTCCATGATTAATTTTACTCGACCTGACTGTCTAAATGACATTCAACATTTACATGTCTTAGCTTGAAGTACACGTGGTATTCCTTGTAGTGGTTGATTTACCTGTGCTAGGCCTTGCATGTTCCTTCAGTTCCTATCAATGACCTTGCCCGATCTTTAAATTATTGCAACTTCTGCATTAATTAAGAGCAATACTACAGATCATCTTGGTCTTGCCAACACCACAACTGCAGTTGTGAGTCGTTCGTTTGCTTCAACTGCTCTCTTACAAAGTTGAGCTGTAAGAATTCTGATACATCATCGTGTACGATTTGTGTGCACAACGAGCAGTCGACATGAAGAGTCATGGTGTTGAGCTAGAGATAACAATTGTTTTATAGTTTGCTCGGGCCGAGACTGGAATTCACATTATAAATGACTTTACAGAACGGAACACATGAATTCAATTGTGTAAGGGAACTTGACAGGTTTGCAGCGGTGCGGGAAAAGCTGTAGACTGCGCTGGACGAACTATTTGCGACCAGATCTCAAGCACGGGCGATTTACCGATCATGAAGAACAGCTCATCGTCAACCTTCATGCAGCCCTGGGAAGCCGGTACCTAATTGTTTACCTTTTCTTTGCTTGTTCTAGTTAGAAGAGTTGCTGGAATTTCATGAGGTTCTGATATTGATTCCGATTAGTGCACCAACTTTGTCGTTACCGTCATGTAATTGCCACTTTTCGTGGCCTATTCTACAGAATGAAGAGATCTGTTCAGCTCTATGCCTCAATTCCGTCACTTGTGGCGCAGCACGATGGTCACACTTGAGGAACAGAAACTTATCCGCTCCATGCATTTACCGTGAAGGATGACCGGTTATGGGTTAATGAGGATTAACAACAATGCATTTGCTACGCATCACGTCAGAAACATGTGATAGGAACTGCTACGGTATCCAGGTCCATTGGCACTTCGCTCTTTATTAACGTCCTTAAAAATCGGAAAGTAAATTTTCAATAGATAACGGTTGTACTTGTAACGCTCATATTCAATTGCAGACGTACCCTCAGCGCTTAATATAGTTTTTGAAGTGAACTCTCTTTAATTCTAGAACTACTACGCTTCTAGCATTCTGATTCTCGAATTGCATACTAAAAAGGTAGATTTTTTTTTTTTTTTTTTTTTTTTTTTTCCCGTAGGTTGACGGATTTCGTGCAGAGGTGCGCAAGTGGTCTACACTTAGTACGTCTCTCAAGGATATATTTTGGAAGGGACTTGCTTATCCAACTAATTTAGCGAACCAGATTTGAGCGCTTCATTTTGTAACCAATTTACTACATTTAATCGTTTCTCTGCTACAGCATGCGATGGGGAGGATCGTGTTTAAGGTTGAAGTGTAGGCAAAGAATAGTATTGGAAGCCGATTTTGACAACCTTCACTACTACACATAGCGTAGTTAACGAAGAACAAACCAAGGTCCATATGGCTTATCGTATGGTGTTGTTTGGGTCATGATTATGGCCATGACTCTAGGTAGACTTCTCTAAATACAGACTAAACATTGATTTAGTGCAAGGAGATCTTGACCTCTCACTTGACTACACTGTACTGAATGCACACCTTTCGCATACAGCGATTTGAGACACAAGTAGGAAAGACATGTCGTGCTAATGCTTCAATTCACCTCATGTGCAGAAGCTCATCAATTTTTTGGCTTTTGTAGGTGGTCTCTCATTGCTGCACAACTTCCAGGACGAACTGATAATGACGTGAAAAACTATTGGAATACGCGTCTCAAGAAAAAATTATGTGAAATGGGCATTGATCCCATCACACATAAACCTATTTCTCAGCTTTTAGCTGATCTAGCCGGCAGTATGGCACTTCCCAAAGGAGGTGACATTGCTGAGGCGACGCTTGGTTGTTTTAAGGACGACATGCTAAATGTCTTGATGAGAAAACGACCCGACTGGCAATCCGATGGCTCTAACGTTACCTTGCCGAATATTCCTCATGGATTTTCGGTTGGGCGACAATCATGGGACATAGTTGCTGGTCCACAGTCTTGTGCCTCACAACCAAGGTCGGTCATTGCAAATGCATATGACACATCTGTCAACGATCAGTATAACTCAAGGCTAACAAATCAAAACCTTCAAGTTGATGCTGTCGTGCAAAAATTTAAGTACAGCCTCTCAAGAGCTGGACAAACAAATGAGGTAATCAGGTCAACGAAACATTAACAGGTTCAGTGACCATTTCATGATTCAGAGACGTTTTCTGCATTCTGACCCAGTCATCTTATTCCTACCCTCCTCTTTGGTGTTGATGTAGTATGGCTTGATCCTAAATGTACTTGAAACAAATGAAATCTAAAACATGTATGTAGTATTACAAGTCTATTAGATACGCAAGGAGTTAACCGGAAGCTTCGAACCACGCAACTAAAGCTTTCGTGGTGTTACAAGACATCACAATGGTACATACAAATTAGTTACCAGATCATGTTTTGACCCTTGCAGATGCAACGCGTTGGAGATGTTTTAAAGCCAAGAGAAGACAGTATGTCCAGAAATACGGCTCTGGTGAGCGGACGGTTTTACCGAGGAGAGTGTGGGAGCCCAGGTAACCTTCTAAAACCTACAAGCATAAGTACCCGAGTTGAACTTTACACGGAAAAATTCACTTAAAACCATTTTGAGAAGGGGAAAGACTTACAAATTGCAGCTAATTAATAAGAGCAGTTGTGTTTTTTTCTAACAATTTCAGTCTAAAACATTCGTACTCACATGAAAAGTTATGAATCTGCAGGTACAGCAACAGGAGGTGCAAATTCCAGCATTCCGAATTTGCAGTACCCATGTATGGCTGACGCACCACACATGTTAACAGCTCTCTTGTGTAATCAAAAAGGAACAAGTTCGAGAAGCCACTGTCAGGAAACCCCCAGTACGAACACCAATGTTCCCACAAGCTGCGAAATAGAACCATGGAGCCCAAGCCCAAGTGGTAGCAGCTGCAGCAACACAAGTCTTGTCAATGGCGATGTTGCTGGACTTGAAAAGGTTCTTAATTCTGATGTCTTTTTATGGGACTTTTCTGAGTTAGGCTCCATAATGAGCTAAAATTATGTGAAGAAGATTCATCCACCATTAACAATAGGAGTCTAGAGTAGGACACTCGCAGTTCTTTGGCTGATCATATACCATTTCCACCCTCACATAGGTTTCTTACAAAGAAGCTACCAGATAATACTTGCTCCGACACGCATTATTTCAAGTAGGCATCCAAATTTTGAAGAACCTAAGCTATTCATCATCCTTCACTTTACAATCTCAACGTCCTTGAAAATAATTAGTATTTACGTCCTCAACTGTAAAAATACAATAGATTTTTGAAACTGAATAAGAGTCAACTGCAAAGAACAGCTTGGGCTCAACGATTCAATAAAGATCGACAACTCTAAGGTTAAATCGGTCTCTATGTTCACTGGCTATGGAGTACCACGGTTCACTCCAAAAAGGAGAATTCTAATTGATCGATATGGACTTCAACATGCTGATTTGAGGAATATCGCAAAACATTTCGGGTAGAATAATACAGATTTGGTGACGAACTGCTCAGAGTTTAACTTGAAAGAAACATGACAAGTGATTCTTTGCCTTGCCACTGTCAAGCGATAATCGTTTCGCACAGACAAAGAACGTAAAATGCACATAGATAAACTGACAAAGAACTTCAAATTTACCATAATTTTCCTATAATTGTAGGTCGCAATTTTCTATTTTTGTTTGTAACCAAAAATCTTTTCTCAGTTGGTTTTATGTTCAAGAAAATCAATCAAAAAGCTGTGAGAGGAATAGATCAGATCGTACTTTTTCTTGTTTAGCATGAACACTGTTGTCTCTTGAAGTTTGTGCTTAGTCTCTCTTAAAAGGTGGTTTTTTCAAAAACTTAAGAAACTTTCTAAAAAAATTAAGTGTCAAAAACAATTAACAATCATAATTGTGATATTCAAGATTTGTGCTATCATATTTAAAATCACTTTGAAAAAATGGTTTGCCACATGTGATGGCCTCTTCTCACTCGATATTATCTACAAAAACCAAAGCATCACAAACAAACAAAAAATAATAATAAAATAAACTTCTCCATAAAATAACATTTACAGAACTTTTAAACCATACCCTCTCAAAGTACTGGTAGGTCTAAAGACCTCTTCACAAACAATGGCCAGATACAACATACCCAAAACCAAAAGTTTCAGTACCAAAGGCATGTCAATGAGGCAATAAAAGAAATGACCCATTTTAGCAGCTGTCAAGTGCACAAAAACAAAGATTTACTGCATTGCTGTCAGGGACCACCTCAACGAATTGACGTCAAATGTGGTAGACAAAAAAGACAAAATCAGTGGTTGCCAATGACGTGAGCTACAGCCACAGTTCCATTCCATTGAGCCAGCTACGTCAGTTGAACTTTCCTATCTTCCCATATTGTATCAGAGTCCGAATGTCCGAAAGTAGGCAGTAATGCAAAAAAAAAAAAAAAAAAAAAAAAAAAACATTGCTGATGCCAGTGCTCGTTCCTGCTCATCAAAAGACTGGTTCTTTCAGCCTAAGAGTGGTGGTGTGCTGGAGACTGTTCCGCAGCACACCAGACTGTTCACTACAATCCCATGATAATCAGGCATGGTTCACTGCCGTGGGTTCAATCAAAACTTTGTGATCAATGGTCAAAACAAAGGTGGCTACACCAGGAGATATAAAACTCTGGAGGTGATATTGTGTCACTACCCAATGGTCCCATGTATGGTGACACCATGAAGCGGATGACTATCCTGTGATGTGCAGATGGCACACCCTTTCTGGAGCCAATCTGCAGCAATCACAGGTTTGGGTAAAATATCAACAACCCCCACAAATCTACTCCACGTGAACAATGTTGCTTTCATAGCGTTCAGCTATGTTGAGGAGTTCAAACACTGCTAACTTGGTGAACTTCCTAGCAAACAGGAAACATTGCCTGGGCCTGCCGCCAGCACTGCACCACTCCGTGCGGTACTCGGAATCGTAGCGTACATTGATGTAGCCCTACAATAAAATAAAATAAAATAAAATTAGTTCCGAGGCATAGGTACGTTTGCCGTGCTCCATGACTGACCAGTGAGAAAAATTATGATCTGTCTTTTTCGGAAGGGGACCTGGATTTCTTTGATGAAGTCAAGAGCTATATCAGGAGCGTCGAATGCAGCAGGGTGCCAACCCCTACTGCCTTTGCTGTCGGAGCTCTCCCAGCGACTATATGTCAAAGTTCGACGTTCAAGTTCACCTTCCATATCCTTCATCTGCATTCACACCTCATCCAGTTCAAACTGATGTACTGCCGTTGTTAACTAAATATCATAATAAGCCTAGCTCGTTCAACTGCAAAGTCTACAAAATAGGAGCGTGGGCAGGGTAGTACAAGGAAACGAAGAAAGAATGATGTAGGAAGACGTGGCGCTTACCGCTAAAAGTGTCTGAATATAATGTTCGTCTGGTATACAATTGTGAGTACTATCGGTGTCATTACTCTGTAATCAAAGCACCTCACCAGTCAAGAATGTATAGTCTTGTTGTCGCCACTTCATGGAAGGAAACATCCCTGACTAAACCATCCAACATAATCGCATTTTCTACTTTATCGAGAACAATGTACATAGCGTGCGGGTGTTGTCAAAACAACAATTACAGGAAACAATGAGGAACATAGCCATACCACATAGTCATCCTTTCGACTAACAGATGGGACCGCCTTCTGCAACAAGCCAGTCAACCATCCACTCCATGTCCCGTAATCGTGGACCTTGCAAAAGAAACACTAATGCACTAACAAAGAACAATGAGCTCCAGCGCTAAATTACTGAAAATTAGCGAGGTTTCACTATTTGAAAACATCAAGATAAGCCTATTTTGGCTCCCCACAAAAGTTTCAAGAAGAGGTGATCGTAAGAATAACATAAAACTTACCATGTTACAGAAAAATGCGTAATTGTATATCTTAAGAGATAAAACGTTACACTCTAGAAAAGTAGATCCTAATAATGTTTGCTACATCCGTATCGGGGGTTCACTTCAACTAACATTCATGTCAGTACAAAAAGCCAGGAGGAAAGCAGAGGACACCTTGCAATGATCAACAAAAGTTGAAAACACTTTTGAATCCTCGGCAACCATCTCTGCATGCTTCCTTGTGAGTGTAAACCACTGCCAACAGCAAAACGTCCAAATTTCGATTATCATATTGTTAGATAGAGAACTCAGTTGCAACCGTGTATTAATATAATAATGGGCCAAATTCCAGAAATCAATCTCATTGATTTGAAAAAGAGAGCTTTCCATTAAACTTGGTTCTAAAAACACATTTGCGTCTCAGAATTTAAGAATACCTGCGATCCTTTGCGCCACTTGTCTTCTGTAACAATGGGATCCATAAGGACATTGTATTGATAGTCTTTGTAGTCATAAAAACTGTTTCCCATTAAGGCATTAGAATTTTGAACACATTTACATAATGTCATGATTGTGACCCAATGACTAAATTTAACAACAAACTGAAATCTGAAATTGAACAGATCGTCTGCACAGGTGACAATCTGATGACCTAGCAAAAGAGCACATGGCATGTTCAGGTCTTGGGCAATAAGGAATTTAGCGTGAAAATTTCAATTAACTCGGTACAAGGTAGCATGCAAGTTTCAGATTAGTGATGTTACCTGTCCACGAAGCTTTTATTAGAGGACATAACATAATCGTAGATGTAATTAAAATTGAAAAGAGGAATGCAGCTGCAAGAGAGGCAAACCCAAAAAATTTCACAAGAATGTCAGATTGGCGACCAGTAACAACATAACACGTTGCAGAGTCAAGCATAGACATTCAGATCAACTACCACTGCTAACTAAAATATTCATTTAATGACACAAAACCTTTAATGCGCAGATTAACTAAAGGCCTACTATCTCTAAAGAAAACAAGCCAGCTGATATGATCATCGTTCTTCGACCAACAAAAATATAAACATAGTGAAGGGTACTGCTAAACTACCTATCCGAGAGAAGAAGAAATCTCTCATTCAAGGGATCTTGGAGAGCCTCAGCTAATAAAAGTCGTTCTGCTTGAATCATGGATGGCTTTCCCCACTCTACCTGCAGATTCCAAAGCGAATGGAAAAGTGTGTTTATCTGACTATAAAATTTGGCTCAGAGCAGTTATTCATTTGAAAACAGAATTCCAAACAGCCCTTTCCAGATAAAACAACGTCGACCAGAGCTTGCATCCCTATATTTTCATTTCAAGTCTTCATATGGCTTACCTGTACAGAGGCTTGCAGCTGACGATTAACAAACGCACGGCAGGCTGTGTTATGTTTGGTAAAAGAAAAACCAGGTCTCGTGTGAATGTAAACGCTGTATTCATTTGAATCAGCTCCCTGCACTTCACGAGTTAATATTCTATTATACGAATACTCTGCCGACACGAGGCACAATACAAAGAGCAGTTATAGAAATTTACGACTCATCACAATCAACAATCATTCCCCCACATAAAGGACATGAAAGTGCCGCCATTAATGACAAAAGGCTAAACACGAAAGAAGTGGTCCTAGTGCAAACCTCAAAGAAATGCTCCCACAAGACGTCCAGAGGCAAGTGCTGACGAGCAAGGAACAGAAACGCCAGCTTCGGTTGCGTCGTATTGCTAAATCGTCGAATTTCAAAACTAGATTCAGGAAGCTCGGCCAAATCAGGGGGATCACGAACGATCAATGTTTGCAGCTTCACCAAGAAAAAAAAAACAATAGCTGCCCCCACCAAGAGGTATCCACCCAGCCTCCACCTCCACCGGGGATGCGCGTGCGTCTTCCTCTTCATGGCTGGTTCTAGAATGCTGCTCTACATGTCCTTCTGCAAAACCCCAAATCTTATCACACATTGGGCGCGACACACGTTGCACTACCAAGTAGCTATCCTGAAAGCCAGGGGAACATTGAGAGCACAAGCACTGCGTCTGAAGACCAGAATACGCCCTCATGCACAGCCAAGTGTGGTAAGCAACCACCGTCCCACCATTCCTTCAAATACTGTCAGAAGAGTCGCCACAACTTCGAGCAGAGATCATTGTCCACTAAACTGTTCTATTCATGACAACTTCAAGGAATAGACCCAGTAAATGATCCCTTGAATCTCATTTCCACATAAAAGTTTTATTTTCATCACAAGTTCAGCACAACTTGAGTGTGATACTGTGTTGGAGTTCAGCTGAATGTAAACCTCAACACATCACCGCAACTGCAAGCTCTGCAAAATTATGCCTTTCCCAACACGTACCCACACGTGCGAACTCGCAGTGTAAAAAAATAACCACAATCACCAGTTCAAAACTGTACACCAAGGTACGAACTATTCCAATGCCCACGAAACGCCCCTGCTCTTGAAGAAAAGATGTTTGAACAAAACGAAAATCACCAAAATTTGAAATTATGATTATTATTATTATTATTATTATTATATTATTATACTCCACATCAGACGTCAAATTCCTTCGATATCAAGGTCTCCCAATTCCACAGGCAATAACTACTCCGAAATGGCATCGAGGTGGACGCACCCACCTTAAAAGAAACGCCTGCACGTCCTCGTCCTTCCAAAATACCAGTGAATCACCGCGCAGCTATCATACTTGCCACAAGAGAAAAAAACTCATCCGAAACATCCCACTCGTCTTTTCAACCCATCTCGCTGTCACGTCACTGTCAGACTCGAAATCCCCATTAACACCTGGACTCCATGTCTACAGAAGGAAAAGAAAGAAGAACAAAACACAAACAAAGCCTCGCAGCACAATATCGCTCAACAAACTGCCTCAACCTTCGGCCAAAACCCCATAACACAGCAAAATGTTTGCCCCAATCACAACCACGTCATGCACATGCGAGGAATCGAAGCATGCGCCTTCTTCCTCATTGGACAGTCGTCACACAGCAACAACTCAGTCCAACTTGAAAACTCCCAAGCACAACTCGTTTCCATGGCGCCAGATTCCCGTGTCCCCTTTAGCTTCAGGGGTTTAGAGCCCTGCGAGAGAGGAAGGACGGAAGGAAGGAAAGGGAAGAAAGAAAAGTGTAGCGGAAAAACAAAAAACAACAAAAAAGAAAAAAAGCATCTAACCCAAGCATAGACTTCTTCTCTGTCACAGATTCATTCCTTTCCAGTGACAACTTCCAAAGGCTTCGGGGCATGCGCCCACAGCGCGAAACCGGGAGAATTCAGCTCCAACCAAAAGCTCTTAGTCCCTCACCACAACAACCCATTCCACCCAATCTCCGCATTTAACGACACTAATCACTACTCCAATGCAAGGCTAAGTTGCTTTTGGGAACAAAAAATTGCGAGAAACTGGCAGCTCCGTCTTTGGTTGTTTCACCCTTCCCCCGAATGCGGCGGAGCCAGATCAGATCTACTGCGTGTTGGGTACACACACACAACAACTCAGCAGTTATGAGAAGTTCACCCCCCCCCCCCCCCCCCAAATAAAACAACTCTTTCAAAATTAGAAGCAAACCAACAAACCACATGGCCCCACAAATGGACTACACTCGTGCATGGGTGGCCTCAACCCCCGGTGCAGTGGAAAAAGAGACGGGGAGCCCCACCCGAGGCACAGCGGGAGGAGAGGTTTCTTTGATCCTTCGTGAGGGGGAAAATTTGAATGGCTGCCCGCTGGAGGGGGTGGCGACGACGTCGACAAGAAATGTCGGGACGGGCTGCAAGTGGGGGGCGCCGTCCGGGGGACGCCGTCGATTGGAGGTTCGCGGCACCTACCTGGCCACACGGGTTTCGCTCCTCCACCCCCCGAAACCCGTGTAGTCCTATCTCCGCCCTCCCCGATTAGTGGCCATAAATTTTTCCATAATACTGTTCGTTCATTGGCTGGGGGGGGAGGGGGAGAGGGGGGGATCTTTTCTCCTTCCTGCACATTCTAGAAGACAGCCTTGAAAACGTAAAATATATAAGAATAATAATAAAAGTAGGAGAAGACTAAACGTTTACAGGAGTCAGAAGGGTCAAAGTCACACTTTTTAATTGTGGGTTAACGTTAATTGGAATCAACAACTTAACGTAGTTAAATTATACTGCAAAGTGATGTGTTTATTGGATGGGATGTGAAGTTTCTTGTGTTGTCAATTTCTAAGAACGTTTCTTTAAATTTGTGAGCCTTTGTTTTCTTGCAAAGAAGTTGCAGACAAAATTACATGTGCATGAGCTAATTTGGAGGATTTAGAATTAGGTTTCATTGAAATGTTGCAACATTGAATATGAACACATTCCTAATTCTTGTTTGTGGATTTTTATTTATTTGTTTATTTATTTATTTGACCACAAAGATGGGTTTTTTTGGATCGGATTTGTATGTTGGAATAACTGAACTTTGAAGGTGATTGAAGTTTATCATTAAATTAATCTTTAGGTCAATTGTGTCGCTTTTTATCCATGTACATTTAAAATAAAAAAATAAAAAATTGAATGTTTATTATAATTATTTTTTATTAAAAATCATAATATTTTTTTAATGAATATATCAAAATAAATAAAATGAAATTGATGGAAAGTAAATATAATTATGTTTGTAATATGATATTATATAAGATCTTTATGTACATTGTATATAAATTAATATTTAAACATTGTGAAAATATTATTAAATACAAACAATAGCTTTATCATATTTAAAAATATTAAATTAGTACCAAATTTATAATTTATATATATATTTTAAATTAATAGATTGATTACTATTTTTATTGATATAATTTTTATTTTTTTAGTATTTTATTGTTGTGAAGGACATGAATTTAGGCATTTAAAAAAAGTTATACTTTTTAAAGACTGAGAATGAAAAAAATAATTAATTAATTAAATTAAAACATAATAATGAGATAGAAAAGAATTAGAATGGATACTGCCTAATACAAAGAACTAAAGAGACTTAAATCAAGATTGGGATGCTAGAAAGGCATTGATAAGATACAAGATTGGCCAACATACAAGGTCTAAGATGCTACAATAGTGACTTCTTTAAAATAAAAAACTTTTTAGAGAAGTACCATAGCCCATGTGCCATGTCTAGATAAATCTATAGGTATAATCTATGTCTAAAAAGATTCCTTGATATTTTATAAGAGAAATATTAACTACCTAACATAATTCACTTATTTCCATATACTTAAATAATATAGATATTTATTGTTAATATATCCAATATTAAATTCTAATCAATAATTCTATGCTTTAAAATTTTTGATTTAAAGATTTTCATTAGAAATTATAAAAATATTAATAAAATGTAGATAAAAAACTACTATCATAAATTAACAAATTAATTCTGATAATTTTTTTTTCTTTTCCAAAATATATAAAAATTAAAGAAGTACATAATTATACCAAGTTGTAGATATAAAATTGCCTCTATTTGTCATTATTATTTATCCTTCAACTTAATAAGCTATCACAACTATTTTTTTTTAAGTGCAATTAGGCCAAACATATATATCACAGAGAACTTGGTGGACCCTACTTAGTACAATAGGCCTCCTCATGTCATGTAGACTATGGTGCAACTATTTTCGGGGATTGAATTAGCTCAGCAGAACATAATTTAATAAACTAGGTATATGAGACTTGACCCCTGCTTTCCACACGTTGTTGTGGTAGAGAGAGTTTGCCTCAAGAAAATGTTGGACCTCTGAGTGCCAGTAATTGCTTAAAAAAAAAATATATTTATAGCTTGTCTTTAAGAAGACAACTACATTAAATACACAAGTCTAGGATGCACAAAAGTATCCAAGATGTGATTAGATATCCTAAAATCACTTCTACTTCTGTGGAGATTCCTTCCATATATGTATCACTCAATAACTTTTAATCTAATCATCCAATTGGATTTAAAATTCTCCATAAGTTAATTTATATCTTTCACTACCTCTATACAAAAGAATCAACCATAAATTCATTATAGATCTTTGGATATTGCCTAATTGTTAGTAGGTACTAAACATATCAATTTCTAGGCACTCATGTACTAATTCTATCATATCTCAAAAATCCAAAGCTCAAATACTGTGAATTTTTTATATACAACTTTTCAACATAGTCACCTACACATATGAAAATTTTGAGCCAAAAATTCGTCTAAAAACTCAAGATATTACCCAAATCAAAATCTCTACTAAAAACAAATCACTTACAAATCTTAGTTTTGAATACTAACTTCCAATAGCTCTTTCTCTTTTGTTTAAGATTGGAATATATTAATTTCTTTGCATAAAGATTCTTTTACCTTTATGCTCTGAAAATCCAATAATATTCTTAAAGAAGGGAGACAAGATACATGATACTTTAAATCTTGGTGAACAATCCTTGGTGACGATGGGAGGCTCCAAAGTGAAGCTACTAATCTACCAATCTAGCCTAGTTGTGAGCATGTTTTGAAATTGTAAAATGTAAAATTGTAAAATGTAAAATCAGTTTTAATTTTGAAATCAGTTTTAATTTTTTAAAAATAAAATAGAAATACCATTGCAGATTTTAATACAAATGCTTTTAGAAATATTGTTGATTGGATTGCTTATGGATTTAACAAAAATATAAAAATATAAATATGTTGACATACATCTTACATTTTATAAAAATTCTAAATTGTTTAATACAAGATTTGAGCCTTCATGCAAGAAATTCTTTAAAAAATCATTGATAGAGATTGCAAAGTATCAAATCCTATCTGTTAGTAAATTTTATATTACTATGTACATTTTGCAATGTACAATCTTTCATGACTTGGTGGCACGCACTGTTTACTACTAGAACATTTGTTGTTTGTCTTACGTTAGAAAAAATTATGCTAATGCTGAGTTATTTGTACTTGATTTGTTGTAAATCATCAAAGTGTTTGTTTTAAAGACGATAATGCCAAACTTCTAATCACCTTAAATGAATATTGATCAAATGCCACTACTTCTAGCACAGAAGGGCTCGGTAATAAACTAAGGGACAATGAATGCCTAAAAAGTAAATATTCATCTTCATCTTGCTAGGCAAAGACCAGTGCTGCCCTTGATTACTCTTTCAAAAGGTTATAATACAGACGCTGAAGGTGACAGAAGGTGGAACAGCCACCGACCTCAACCATGTTTCCTAGCAACCTGCGGACAACAACTTCGCCTCTTTCGTGGGAGCAACAACCGATGTCACATCATCTGACGAAGGTAACTCACTTGTCCGAAGTGGTCCCATAAGTGGAGGGCTTGGACTCCATTGATCAGGTACCATGACGAAGTAAGTTGACATTGCCTTGCGAAACCTCTTTTTGTACTGTTTTGGCGAGATCACCGTTGGTGCTGCGTTTTTCGGTCCACCAAGTATACCAGATGCTTTCACCCAGGTCTCTAGATGTTTGTCCCATGTATATTGACGTATAAAATCAATTATACCTAGCACTAACTCTTGTCGCTCGTCGTCCACACCGACAAGCAAAGAATAATCCATTACGTGTACTCCCTGTCATACAATCCAGAAAAAATACGATGTCAGATAACAGCCTCGCTGATAATGCAGCCAAAAAGCCTTTTGATGTTTTCAAAAAAGACCAACCCACTTTACATCAAAGGTGTGCTCAAAAGATATCGAGTTAAGCATCTTTGGTCCATTCGTTCGAATGATGAAAAATAAAATAAAATAATAATAAAAAAAAAGTCCACATTGAAAGTAAAATACACCGTACAGAAATTATTGCATGAGTCGGAACTCCAAAATATAGAACCTACAATGATAATAACAAATCTTTGTGCTTAGGTGCATCTTTTGCCAGAAGTAAAGCACGCTACATATTTCATAAGGATTAAGCCATTCACGAAGTATGTAATCATGCAATACACAAAACAAAGAGTGACGGTGGTGTTTACTAACCGCAAGAAAGGCTGTATCATTCCAAACAGCCCTTTCAAGTAAACGCTTGGCTTTGTTACTGACAAAAATAGGAGAAGTTGGCATCATCTCCAACAGATTTTCATCAAGTAGCACCTTGTTGTTTCCTGTGAGATCGGAATTATACCTCGACCGTACAGATCCCTTGAGATCATAGAGGCGACTGACATTGCGTGCATAGAGAAGATTCTCCATAACAAGTAAGTCAAGTTCTTTGTTTCCTTTAGCCTGCCTTACCGAGACCTGCCAACAAAGTGTCCACATGGTGAGAACTAGCACAGCTATTCAAAAAATATTTAAAAAGCTCAAAATACTCTCAAGCAATCAACATTATTAATTTTGAAGCAATTAATGAAACATTACACACCCTGTATAGTCCAACAATCTTTGCAAGACACGTAGGACTCCCAGAATTAATAGATTCAGTGAGGTAGTTGAAGTATCGTGGAGCAAAGTCCAGGAATGATATTTTCTCAGTGCTCGTCACTTGTTTGACCACAAATCGATCATCCATAGTCTTGGCAAAAAACACATTGCTTTTCCCTCCATGAGCTCCCCATTTCTTGCATCTGCTCATTGAGCGAATATAATCCATATCTCCTCCACAGCACTTTTTCCGAAGTGCGTCAAATTGCTTGGCATAATAGCAAGTGACCCGGAACTCTACTTTCCCGCTTAGAACTGAAACTCCACTTTCCTGCTCTGTAAATGCCACCTTCACATCTCTCTTCTCTCTTGGTGTCAGTACTTCCGTTGAAGCAGTTCTCAATAGCTTCTCTTTGAGAATTAAATCATTTTCTACGTCGATGCAGGCGGTCGGCTCCTCCATTTGATGAATAGAATCCATCATGTTTGAGAAGTCTCCAACCTCATTCTCTTCACTCTCTCGTAACTTTTCCTTAGGTTTATCCTTGTCATTCTCTACAACTGCTTCCCGAAGTTCTGCCTGCAATCGGAAAATGTAATTGCAGTTGAATCAAAGTAGAAAATTTGAAAGAACAGTTGTAAAACTAAATACTCTATCTTGAATCAAATAATGTGGCTGTAATTGTACACAATGTGGTATAACAAGCACTACAATGATCAGCAGATACAACAGCATGATGGCGGGTGCACTGTAACCGCTTGCCTGATATTTTGGAGTTAGAAGAGCATATGCAATTATACTTGTAAGTTCATCGTCGTAGACATTGATTACAGTATCATGGATGCAGGGTGGAAGAGAGAGACGTGCTGCACCAGGTGCAGAGAGATGACCAGTAAGGGAAACGATCATAGGTGTTGATGGGTTTGCCCTTGGTGGAGATCCAGCAATACTACTCTGAGTAGATCCTGGAAGACTATACACGTTTTTATGAGGCAGATTAGACAATGTCCCTGCAGGGACCCCAAGTGAATCCTCGGATGATTCTTTGTCCTTGCCTACAGATCTTAATGGAGACGCTGGGCCATTTGATTGCAAGGTTGCATCACTTTTCTCGACCACTTCCCTGTCTTGCAAAGGTAGATCTCCACCGTGCACCAAAGACATCTCCTGAGAAGATTCGATGCCAATGTTAACCATCCCTCCGGGAGAAGAGATCACTTTGTGAACACCTAAACCTTCATGCACGTTAGAGACGTCCATGCTGCTGATACTTCCGAGCCAGACCCCTTCCAGATTTTCGGAGTCTGTAGGGATAGGGCTAAGGCCCTCAGGTAAAGGAGTAATTAAACTTGCCTCTCCTTCATTTGGACAATTGAGGCTTGCCAAAACTGCAAAAAGGATGTTTTTGAAAACTTAAGTCCCCCGAACTGCTATGCTTTGCCAATCATTTATAAACTCAAAAAAAATGTGAATTTTACTAGCATCAAACCAACAGAAAAAATATATACAAACAACCCAGATAAAACAAAAAAGAAAATCAGGTTCAAAAATATGCTTAACACAAGAATAATGGATATAGATTGTATGCATGAGAAATAAGTCAGGTTACATTGCCAAAATACCTTTGTTGCCTATCCTAAAACCTTCTTGGAGTGAATCCATATTTTCTGCACTTGCCAAATCTTCAAGGGCACCAGCAATAGGCAAAGGACTTGATAATTGTTTTGAGAGTCCAATGGAGCTGTTGAAATGTGTTCTTGAACTTTCCTCAATCTCATCAAGTAACAACGGGTGAACACCAGACACAGAAATCGTTGTCACATTCTTCGGCGAATTCGAAGCTACTGGAGAAGCAAGAAGCCGTAAAGCTCCTTCACTACCAGAATCACCACTAATATCCAAAATAGCTTGCGTATTCTGCTGCTTGGGAGCTGTCTGTTCGATAATTTCTCCGATACAATCATCCGCAAGTTCCTGCTCTTTTCGATTTCCCATATCTGGATTCGAAATGGTCATTCGTTCTTCCTTTCCTATGGAATTACCCTCTAAGTTCCTGGATCTTCCGAATGAAGAATTGCCAATTTTAGAGAGCAACAACGTTGAATCAAGAAATCCTGGATCAGAGGTCCTCATCGGATGTCGCACTTTGAGAGAGCCAGAAAGCTTACAGAGACATTCTTCCCAGGCAGCAGAAGTATCTGATAGGTGTTGTCTTATCTTATTCAGAGCTAGTATATCAGCCACCAATGGACCAGATAACGGTGCAGCCTTGTGTAATTGCGCCTGCAAGGCAGCATTCTAGCGATTATGTAACAGCAAACGGCTGAATAGCATGGCAAGCATACAACACAACCCTCGATTCCTATACATGATAAAAACTGGAATGATCTCATAAAACCTCAGGAAGTACTCTCTCCAAGATGTATTGCATGTATTATACGTTGAGTGACCTACCTCAACCTCGGCTTTCTCCCTCTGCAACAAGCTTTCTAACTCCACAATCTGCCGCCTGGCTTCAGAGAGCTTGGCACTGGAGTACACAAACTTTGAGCTTGAAATCTTTTCCCCAAGCACACCTATTGCATTAAAGATCTCTGCAAATACTAAATCGGATTTGTTTGCGACCTGTCTCATATTCCCCAAATACAGAGTAAAAAACTGTTCCTCCCATCATTAACACCAGGCAAAGCTTCACTTACAAATGCCAGGGTGCACCCTCACCCTCCAAACGACAACATTGTGCGAACTTCGAGGTAATGCTTGAAGCTGAACAATTTTTGGCATTGAGTATCAATTAGCATACAGCAGTCAAATGTACCAGAAGAACAAATTTTTAACTTCGTCAAATTCGAATACCTCATTCGCTTCATTCAGTAGCCAACCCTGCTGCTTAGGGTTGTGGAATTCCAGTTGCGGAGGAGGTACAGCAACCGAGTGGAGGTTGATAGTCGCATATTTAAAGCAAGCCACGAAGCTGCCACACCTGAACCCAACAACAAAAGTATATGGATGCCATAATCATGTAACTGCTCAATACGCGCAGCTCCAAAACATTGTTCTTGTTCTTAGTAAACAAATATGAACTTGCATCACGTTCACGTGCTTAGCAAACGAATAGTGCTAAAGCTAGAGCTTTCGGGCATTGCACTGCTACGTTGTATCTTCACTTATAAGATCCACAATCGGAAAAAATTAAGGTTTGAGCACATACAAGACACAGAACAACCAAGACGGCACCTACAATCACGCAAAACGTCCGAAGAGTACTCAGAAAAGATGCCAGAGAGCTATACCCATAAAATCTTAGACAGTCTCTATGCAAAGAGTGACCACAAGCAGCAGCACGACTGGCTGCAGCATGGTTTGAGAAACTCAGCTCCAAGAACTTGCCAAACGAAAGGCCCCAAGCAGCATCAGACATCACAAGTCTTCTTGTTGCTGGAGGAACACCATCTGTCCGTGGACAACGAAGACATCGATGCCACATCCATATCCTTCCATCTTTCTCTCCTGGAAGCTCAAAATCTCTCAGTCGTTGAACTGAAATAGTCAAACTCCCTTGGCGATGTGTATAACAATGAACATGCGAATCAAGCGGCTCCTCACAAGAACCACAGCTGCTAGTCTGTTGAGACTCAAACGATACATGTATGTATTAGCCTTACTGAACATGTACTATCTCGTACGTTTTTGCAATAAAACTATCGTATTACTTTTAGATAAATAACAAAAGTCCTTGAAACACTTGGAACCAGCTCCATAAAATAGAAGCATTCCGGAACTGGAAAGTACAGATAAAGTAAAAGTTAGCAAACGCACCACATTGAAAAGAGAGTCCTTCAAAAACTTCCCAAGAGGCTTATCAGAGCTTCCATAGTACTTAATACGCTTGAGGTGAGGACGCTCACAAACGCTTCCTTTGCGTAAGCATCGACTTGATAGGGAAACCAAGATACTTTGATGATCTGATAATGGTGAGGCAAAATCATCCTTCATCACAGTCCCCTGAGCAGTAGAGCCTTCATTGAAGTCCATATTCTCCTGCTTAGACAGTTGCTCTAGTTGGTGCAAATCCCCAACAGAAGAAAGCTGCATGCTTGATCCTTCTTTCTGTCCATACCAACAACGAAAGTGTATTACTCATTCAGTTACGCAGCTATAGATAGAAACAAAAGACATTGTTAAAAATAAAATAAAATAAACAAGACGCCTAAAAAGGAATGATGTTTGGTTGTACAGCACGAAGCTGTACACAAAGACAACTGGTGAAACAAATTAAAATACATGAAACAAGAGGACCTACCCAGGATAAGCGAGAGCTGTTGTGCTTCACATTCTTAGTTCCTTGAGGAGGATCTAGATTAGCACCAACTGCTAAGCTAGCACCTGAACCGGCCCCAGGGACAGAAACAATATCCATTTTAGATTTATCCTCCAAACCACGCATATCATAATTGGAGAAGGCAGCCGGAACAGCTCCTCTTGAAGCTTTTATCGGCAGTGATGATTGGGACTTATTACCTTGATGCTCGAATTGAGAGTTAAGTACCTAGCAAACACACAGGCAAGAAAAGACGACAAATTAGAATATCCTCCATCATGAGTGCCTAATCAAAGCAGTGAAGAGTCTGAAGATGAAATATCAATCCTCGAGGCAATTACACAATTTAAAGCAAGCCATAAAAATTGTTAACAATGTTGTATGAAAAGAGCAACATCAAACGATAAAAACTCTCGGTCACCCAGTTATCCACCGTTAGCAACAAGGAGTTGCAACCTTCATTAAAGCAAAATTACAAATTTCATCTAAAATGTACAATGCTTCATATTTAAGCCTGCTTTGCAGAGGTCGAGCAAGGTTCCTAATACCAGAAACAGTGACCGGTTAAATACTATAGTAGAAAACAAGCAGTCTAGAGAGTGAAACGATCACGTTCACCCAAGGAATAATGCTTACATGCGAATGTCCAGATGATGAGTGGTTTGTGAAGCCCGAAGTTGTGGAAACCGGCTTATCTGATGACCGTGCAGTGCCTTGCGCAGTGGACCCTGGAGATAAAAGTGAAAGTTCAGGTAGTGTAGCACCTTCGTCAGCCAAGAAAGAGGTCTCCAAAGCTAGATGGTAAGCAGCAAATACTGCGAACTGTACCACCTTCTTCACACTCTTCAATTCTTCTGTAGTTGCACCTCGGAGCAGGACGGTGCAACCCAAAGGTCTTGGGCAGCCTTCAAAAAATATCAGATACTTCGGACCTGGTCTACCCCCATGGTCCTTGTAATCATGCTCTTCCACAAACTTTTCAATGTGAAAGAATTCACATTGACCAAGAGTAGGAGCCATAAGGTATTCTGGAGAAGCAACTATCTGCCAGATTCAAATAACCAGTACACACCTCAGAGACATTTTCCATATAACAATTGAATGTAATCAGATGCAGCCAACGCATCCTAAAAGATTAGTATCAGGGATTAAAAGTTGACTGGAGATAAGATGCAGTTTCAAGGCTGACCTGGGCACCAGTACATCGAGCAATGCGTTCCAGAAGTGGCCGTTTGACATTCAAAACAACTGAAATGTCTTTCTCCAGCAACTTGTCCTGTGCGTATCTTGACACCGTTTTCTCCACCAAAAGAACATTAGGGTGGTAGGCTTCAATACGAGCAACTGTCATGCTGAGATGATCTCTTTCCTACAACCATTTATTGTCAGAGCCAGTTGAAAGGTTATGCTTATAGCCTTATCTAAACACAATCTTCTTTGGATCTCACAGACATGAACTGAACATTAGATTTTACAAATGCCTCAACCCCTTTGAAGCTCTCATGTCAGCACATCAAAATTTCGTAGTGGAGTTCACTTGGGAGTAATATCCCAGGTAGCTATATACACTTTCGTAAAAACATGTTCCGGACTATATTGTACTGGAGTGAATACCTTGCGCTCGGAATTAAATTCTTGTCAAATGCAGAACCCCACAATAACAATGCGCCTTAGGTCTAGGCAATTACCCCAACATAATTTCTTACTATACGACTTCGAATGAAACCACATAATTATGTCGCAATATGAAGAAAGCAGTGTTAGACACAGCTGGCTGCTGTAAAGGAACTATAATTCCAACAAATTTCACAAGAACATTTCTTCAGACATACAAACCTGTTGCAACAAAGTGTCGAGGGATGAAAGCTGATTGGAAACGCGGTGATACTCCAGTGCGCCACCCAATAAAAGTACACGTGGACTCTTGAAACGAGATGCCATGCGCCGATTTTGTACATTCTTATGACATACAATGCCCTTAACAACCATGCTGCTCAACACCATACAATGAAGGAAACATCAGTATGACCTACACCTATTCTGGACAAGTACCTAATCACGTACTTTGGTGAAACTCTGAATAATTCATCTCTTCGAGTACAGCAATTTTCAGTTTGGTAATCGAAGGACCAGAAAAATTACTTGATAATTGAAACAAATTTATTATTAACAATATCAAGTGATCACGTGCTTATCTCAAATCAGGATTATTCATAATTACACATGAAAATTTTGCTCAAGCACAGTACCATTACCTATCTTCGCGCCGTCCAGAAGCTATACACTTAACTTTCACATAGCCACCTGGATCCATACCACCTCCTTTACTTGTATCCGGTTTAACTAGATTGGCAGCTTGCAATGACAACGTACTCACAATTTCCAGCCAGCTGCTTGGGCCTCCATCTCTTAACTGTTACATACATAAACTCTAGCATTTGAAGCTTCAACAACAACGTTGGGCAAATCATAAGGAATTTATGCTACTTCCTCTAGAATAAGGTGTACATCAAAAGCACGTTTATCAATATCCAGTTATTAATAAAAATAAATAAACCCCTAAGTTGTCCCTAAAGAGTTCTTGCGTTAGTATCCCGCTAAATAGCATAAACCAAGCAGCCAGAAAGATGAAAAAGAGCTTCACTTCTAATACATACCCGCACATCTTCTGCAATAAGAAGCTGGGCAACAAGAGCTCTAAAATGACCATCAACTATGGCACGCATTGCTGCCTTGCTTCTGTTCTCACTGCTGCTGACACTCCCTGGCATTCGCGGCACCCACTCAACATCCTCGTCGTCCTCATCGACCTGTACTTGCCGACATAGGAGAAAATTTCAGTGCAAAAATTGTCTAGGCAAATAAATTATGAAGGAAAATTATACATCAATCGTGCGTATGATCAAGTGTCGATTATACATACGTTCGCTTCAGGCAAAAGCAAAAGAAAAACAATGTGGAGGAAGTCGGCAGCAAAAAATAGAATGAGATTAACTAGCTTATCAAACAAAACCGACCTTTATTGTAGCTGAAAGACTTTGCAACGATTCGAAACTAGCTGGACTAAGACTCATTTCTGAGAAATTGAAGTTACAACACATGAAAAAATGAAAAAGACATTAACATCCTCATTCATTAAAAAAAGTACGAGTGCGTCATTAAGTAAGGGAAGTTTAGCAACAAAGAAGAACCGCTTAAAGAAGCTGTACAAAGCAACAGAACTATGATATGACTACTAAGTATGCACTTTGAGGAAAGTAACATAAATTTCCCGCTTCTCTCAACGCTAATCATCAGTGAACTTCGTGTCACAAGGAATTATACATGTAAACGCAGGAATGTCTGAACTCGGTATTTACATACATGACACCTCACATCCGTTTCTAACAATCAACACACAATTCTTTGAACAGTTTACCAAGCTCATTTCAGCATCATCCTCATCCTCATCCTCGGGAGGCGGTGGAACCCAGATGACTCCATTACTCTCGTAGTCAACATTGGGATGGTCAATTTCATTTGTAACAGGTGGCACAAGAGTCTCTTCCTCGTACATCGGGGGTTCGTTGAGAATTCCATCAAGACTCTCAATGTCATCACATGATTGAGTAGTTCTCCACATTGCGGAAGACTCCCCATCGGCAATCCTGTTAATGGTACTTAGTAAGGTCGATTCATTTTGATAAGGCAATCAACAAAATTGAAATAAAAGTGTTACCTACACAACGTGGGCACCTCAACCACGTGATCAGCAATAAGTACTTAATACAAGTTCGATTTTGACGTACTTGAACTGTAATTTTGTCATAGCTCAACCTGCTGTAATAACGAAGATCGATGAAATGATGTTGTAAAGAAACAATACTACGTGAAAAATAGCACACAGCAAGCCGATAGAAATGTTAACATTTCAATCCAAGCCTCCCAAAGAAACACTATACCTAGAGTCTGGCATTTAAATATCTGCTAACCGGCTTTACTCTCTAAAAAGACTCATAAATGATGGTTGTACCAAATTAAATTTCACACCTGCTGTCGCTGGCTTTATCAACCAACACGGGAACTCTTTCCGCATGGTGAGAATCCTCTTTTGGAATATGTACATTTCCACGACTACCATCTCCATAGTCCAGGTCTAGGACGCTATCATCCTCATCATAAAGATCTCTTTCAGTCTTCTGACCTAGATCTTCCTCGTCATCGCTTCTGCACAAACTCAGATCCATTACCGACGGCATGGAGTCAAAAGGCGGCATATTCCACTTGCAACCAAAACCTCAAATGTAAGATCTAAAAGACGATTGTTCTCACTCATTAGAGGCCACCATCTCTTAGAGCTTGCGGAACATTCAAATCACTATCAGCAATGCAATTTTCAAAAGAAAAGTCAGCTGACCTGCAAAACTCATAGAAGCTTGAGGACTGGTCCCTCGATTGCATGTGCAGGCACGCAGTACTGTCGGGTTGAGTGCCCATGGATGATGGGCAGACAGGTTTCCCATCAACAGAGGCCTCCAAATCCACAACAGTGCCGTCAGATGCAGGGGTAGGTGTTGGAGAGTAGGATGGGTCGTAATTTCTGGAAAGGGTTTTGGTAGTTGAGCCTGATGCCATGTTGAAGTCGTACCCTGGCTCAGATGGACTCACAATCTGACTGGAAGGAGAGTCCACAGAAAGAATTACCCGATCGGTATATTCCTGCTCCCTGCGAAGTTTGAAACAGAAATTGCACACACGGACTCGTTCATTCTCGTCGTGGCCAGTGCGAGAGCAGAATGAGGCAGGAATGGTGTTAAGAGTGCATTTTCCACAAAAAACACGGCCGCAAATCCGACAGTGATGTCGCCTATTGAAGATCGTGAACTGAGAATCGCATTCGTAGCACATGCGACAGCTCCGATCGGGCATCCAAAAATCTCGAGACATGATTGTGGCATCATCCTCCCTGCTGCCAAGGCGAGGGATCCAAGAGCTCACCCGTTCTACAATATCTGCTAATGCATTAGCCGCTTCTTCCATCAGCCATGCCAGAAGGCCCGCATTCTTTGATAACGCGTGTTCATAGGCACAATCCACATGCCCAGAAAGCTTGATAGATAGAAGCCAGTGAGGACTTCCCTACGATTCTTTACGATGATTCAATACTCAGATAAGTAAACTCTTGTGTGCCTGTAATTGCTCCTTCAATAACATACAAATAAGCTAAATCCCTTTCATTTAAATGTAGCGCCCATGAAAGCAGCAACAACACTTCAGGACTCGGCCCACATCTGTCGTGCAGATCTGGACCTTGAGAACCAAAACCAATCCAATGAATCTGGAGTTATAATGCTTGGAGCAACACTCCGTTTTCCATTTCTTCCCTGCTTGGCTACGCCACCTGAAGTCCCCGCATAAGAATCAACCCTAATTGCAAACCACTTTTCAACGTTAAAATACTTCCACCGTGAAATTCTACACTTCAAACACATTCCTCGGCTTGTGATGACGCAAATCCTCAGTATTTGGAAAGTCTTCGTTTGAACACAAGACGGGGAAATTTCTGGCAATTACGCAGCAAACAAGCTCAATCAAGCAAGGACAGGGAAATCCTCATTGGGACATCCCCGCTCGCAAACTCCTGGTAAGTCCGATTTCCTCTATCATGAGTTGTCAGAAAGCGACTTGAACTAGAAGATGCCGCTGAAACTAAAGACCTAGAAAAATCTACCTTAGACAGTGGCTGACTATGTGGAAAGCATCACTCCAAAATTCAAAAACCACTTCACTAACTCCAAGCTCAAATTTGTAAAACCCCTCACAATACAACGAATGGCCTCCCACGCAGTACAGCCACTTTAAAAATCCACCAGCGAGAAAAGGACTGTAAGATCACAACTCACGAGACATGTCCAAAGCCAGAATCGCCTACTTCACTGCAGCCTCACACCTCCTAGTCGCATTACAAACCAGCCACGACAAAAGTATTACTCCACGTTTCATTTACCTTCAAACTACCGAAGTACGAGCGCTCTGCCAAGGCCTCCACGAAACCTCAGCTTCGAGATCGGATCATCGATCAATCTCAATGCCCGTAAATTATCCCTCCTTGTCGAAATCCTCCGACAACAAACCGAATCGGACGCCAAATTCGCAACCAAAATGAGATCAAAACGACGACGACGACGCGTAGTATGAACCCTGGATGCATGTATACTAGATGCATAATCAAGCAACGATGGTGCAATTATCGAATCAAACGCACACACACAACACGAACGCGGGCACTGAAACCCGAGCGAGGTGATCCAAGAAGAAGGCGATGCAGTGAAGAGTACCGGGCCCGGTAGAGAGTGGGCTTCTGGACCTCCATATGGGAACACGCTGTTCCTCTCCAGTGCCCTATATTCTCGGATATTCCCTTTGGCATTCCTCCGTCCTGTGCTCGTTCGTTGCTCTCCTGAACGATTCTAGTCAGTTCTCGTCGGTTCTCGTCCGTGGCTATGTTCCCTTTCCTAGGCCAAATTTTCCGTGTTTTTGAAAAAACACTTTTCCAATTAGGGTTTGTGAAGGAGAAACTTGGAGTGACATGCACACCTGACAATAAATGAATAAATAAATTTGAGAGAACAATCATAAGTCTGTACCATTTTTCTCTAGTGGTATGAAAGTTCCTTAATGGTAAGACAAATGTCAAAAAAAAGAAGAGATGGAAAAGAAATAGTTGGCAAACAATAGTCCCATGTAGGCCCCTAATTATACATGCAATGGATAGGGATTAGTTGAAGTTATATATATATATATATATATATATATATAGGTGTACAAAACTTACTAATTAGGTATTCTTATGTCTGCCCATTAGCACGAGCATCAGAGCATACGATGGGATATTAACTATGGCTACTTAACCCAATGCAGCAAGTCAATTCAGGACTTGTCAAACAATATAAAAAAATAATAGAAATGTAGTACTTGATGTATAATCATGTAGATATATGTAACTAAAGAAAAAATATATATATATATATATTAAACTTGTTTCCAATTATGTGAGTTGTACAAATTTGTATTTATATAATATAAAAATAAAAAAATAAAAAAACACTTTACATAAGTTTTATTTTGTTGATTTAGATAGATAAAGAAAAAGTGCTTTATTTCTGAATTTTTCGTTTGTTCATAAGAAGAACAGCACCTAATTTTTTCCAGTTAGTATGAATAATCTTAATTTTCTTTAAAATATATCAAAATTGTAGGCATGTAAATTTTGGCACATACTAAATGTTAAAGATTAGGATATTAATTGAGTTTCCAAATAATAATGATTAATTATTCAAAAATCACAATTAAACTAGTAGATTTAGATCGTATTCCAGTAGAAAGACACAAATAACTATAACTATTTTGTCTCACAAATAGGAATTTTTAAATATGTCAAGATATTAGATTGGTTGTGAAGGTGGCAAAGTATTCCAACAACTAAAATTATTTTAAAAAAATAACATTTAATATTTCTATCATATGTTCATACTATTTTTATAAATGTAAATATAAATGAATGACAAAGTTGCATATTATTTTGAGAACTCTTGTGCACCAAGATATGTGTCTTAAGAGCGTATTGAAGTGTTTCTTTGTATGTCATAAAACTATTAGGTTATGGTCCTGAACAAGTTTGCATAATTATGTACAAGAGATTAACACAGAATAAATGAATGTTGTTTAATTACAATAATCAATTGATTCTTTTAAAATTGTATGTACCCATTTGACTAGGCATTTCTACTACACAACAAAAATTATGTTACATCAATGTGAAAATTCAATACACATGTCATTTCAGCAACTCAGAATCAACTCTTGATTGTTCTAAGCATTGTTCACTTAAATTTTTTGTTAGCTTGTTCAAGAGTAGTGATGGCTTTCACACTTCTCAGTGAAACTTCCTTACTACGTAGTGGTTATCTTAAAAAATCCCTACATCAGCCTCAACAAGGTAGTACTGTTGATTTTTTATATGGTCCCACTTGTGCACGTTTTTATATAGTTCTTATAATAATTGACTCATGTGATATAGTAAAAGTGTTTTGTGAAGTACCCTCAAAACAACCCCACAACATCCAAAAGGTTTGTCATAAATATCCCAAATTACCAACAAAATATGCCATGAATTTGACATTGTAATTACAAACGAGTTACAACAGATTCTTAATTTGTAAAACTTCACTTATTTTTTGTAAAACGCATGCTCTTCAAAGCACTTATTTCAAAGTTTAGTTAAAAACATGAAGAATAGAAATACATTGTTGTTGGATAGATTTTCTTTGGGAAAACTTAGAATGTGAAACCAAAGTATGATTGTGGAAGGCTAAAATAACCATTTATTTATTTGTTGATAAGTCTTCTGATGAATTTTGCACAAAGAACTCATACAAAGAAGATTTTCTCCTCTCAGTTTTTCCTTGTCTTATCATGATCCACCAGAATATAATCTACGTTAAAAAAAATCTTATTTGAAACTTTTAATTACCTTGAATTTTCTCCGGTTGAGTCAGAATTAACTATGTACTTAATTCTCTGAAGTTTTATTTTTTCTATATATATATATATAAATGAAAACCAAGTATATGTAGTTTTTTAGCGAATTTAATCACTTTTATCAATATTATTAATTGTATTTCAACGTGCTATGTGTAAGTATGAACAAGCTTTACTTCGTATTAGAACCAATACACTGCATTTATGGCAGCCTGAGGTTATGATATAGTAAAGAGAGTACCACAGGTGTCAATCTACTGTTGCTGTTTCAAAGTCTCAAATAGCTGGCACCCACAAGGAGTTACACATTTTAATATGGGATTGTTCCAGTTCATACCCACATAGAACATCCGATTGCCATTGCAACTGCTTTCCCAATCTCTCAATATTAGTATAAATCTTCTTGTCAAGTTTTTCACAAAATCGTGAGGTAATCCACGAGACGAAAGCCAGACACTGAATTTTACTCTACAAACCTGTAGCCACGTCTGTAAGAATTCTCCATGCCTCGGCAATAGCTTCTAATGTTCGCCCACACACTGAACATTACAGGCATCTCCTTCCAGTAACGGATAGAAAATGTGCTAATTCTACGTTTCTGTTTTGTAGCTGAACCTCAATAGTCATAGAATAACACCCCTGCACAGTATGTTCGTATGTTCATCTAATCAGATGAAGGCTGCTGCTATACAGACTCTTCCAAGTGCTCCTCCTCATCGTAGGCGGTAGCAGCCTCAATTGCATCTTGATGCAAAAGCTGTATACAGTGCTTAACTAACATGTTACAATTCATGGACATTTCTGCTCAATAAGAAAAGTGACGAAAAATCAATGTTAACTTTAGAATCGGTTCAAGTCACAAAAAAATAAGTAGATCCTTTATCAACCCATTCATTGACGAGTCTTCCCCCTGATCTGAACACAGGCCGTCACCCCCATCTTCATTGCTTTCCTCACCATTCAACCTGCATCTATTTATAAAGGAAAGAAAATCCATAGTATCTGCAGGTCACATTCACGGCAAAGACATACTAAGCATCAAAAATAATTCCAGCGCAATCCAAAATAAAACCAGGTCGAGGGAATATTCTATTTATCATGCTGAAGAATGCACCCGCTTGGAACAATTATGTCACGCGGACTTGCAGATATATACCACTGAGAAATACCGGCAGTTTGAATTCCGTCAAAGAAAGTATGCTTCAAGTTAAGCTCAATAATCAACTACCTGTACTTAAACAAAATTGAGCTCGTTCAGTGCTGTGAAAAAGAGAGGCCTAACCTTAATCGGATTCAGAAGATGACGGTAAAGAACGGCCTTTCCGCTTTCGACCCTTTATAACGAGCTTTGCAATCTCAAGTTGATTATTTAACACCATTTGAGTTCGCTTCAGATCAGCTTCCGTACGTTGACGCTCTAAATCCTTGTGCATCTCCATTTTTGCTTGCTCAATCCGAGCTATGACCTCAGCAAATGCTGTAATACTGTTGGCCTACAGGGGAGATTCAATGTGAGACGATGATTATATGCCCTCCTACACTCCTGGTTCGCAAAATCAGTGAAAAGGGCAGTTGCACAAAATTTGAAAGAATCAAACAACAATGGGCCATGTGCCAACATTGGCAACTCAAAGTGCAACCCCGGCATGAGAGTACTCACTAACAGTACGCCTGGGTTAGGAAGAGAACCCCGCACAGGAAGCTTGCTCCGAGTCTTAGCACCCGATGTACCTGGCATATTCAACATGGTATTAACTTCACTAGCATCTGTTTTGCTGTCTTTCCTGTTTCCAGCGGCGGCATGAGGAACTCCTTGCTCTTGATCACCCTCCCCGACGTCTGGTGAAACGTCTCTATCCTCAGTTAGAGGTACTGCAGCTGGCATTTCACTTTCCCCTTCGCACTCCATAACCGGTTCTGTAAATGTTTCCTTTGATTTCGGATTTCCTTCTTGCGAGGACATGGGTTCTGAACCGGAAAGCGTGGTGTCTGCGCAATCTCTTTGATCTAGGGCAAGAGTTTTAGGAGTAAAACCAAGCATATTGTCCAATCTATCGTAGTAAGGCCACCGGTTGGTCCCTGCCAACGCAGGATTGCTCATCCTGTGTGTCTTCTCCATCTACAGCAACGACATGCAATCGCCCAGGTTCATAAAATTCCACAAAATTGGTTCCCGATTCTATTAAGATCGAAATACCTCTAAGAAAACCAAGTCCCTATGAGAAATGTGAAGTTCCCAGACAAGAGAGAATTCATGATTTTCAGAACCGCAAACCCTGCAAGTCAAGATTGGCTTCAACATTCCAAGCCTTGTTTATCAGCTAAGTAATCAAGTCCCTCCCCAAAAACAAATATAGTGAAGAAGAGCTCAAAGAATCTTTGAACTTAAACCAGGTTATTCTTTAATCTATTTAAAGCCATCCAACAGTCAAGTCAAAAGATCCTATTCCGCTGAACAAATTTGGCCAAAGGCACTACCTTGTAACGTCGCTTCAGATTTTCAATCTTCATTTTACACTGTTTGCTGGTCTTGGCAGATTTGGTGCCATCTTCACGCGAACTAACGTGATTAGCAACCTCGTGCCAATGCCGCCCTCGCAAATTTCCCCTTTGCAGAGAAGAATATTTTTCTTCGTAAATATCTAACAAGGAATCCACAGCGCCGTGACTCCATTCGTAATATTCTCGCCTGTTTGCATCGTTCCCAGAAGATGGCCCATTCCTAGACCTCTTGCAGATTTTCTTCGTAGCAGGAGGAGTTGCTTGCAACTCAGGATAATGATCTGAAGGGAAGGGTACAGGATCAACGGTTCCGATTCTAACAAGTGCGCCGTCCATGATAAGAATATGCAATCACTAAGCCCTTTGCAGCTCCCCTCTTTGCTAGACACCCACCCGAATCAATGTCTTCCCTGCATCGATCAAAGCGCACTGCGCATCCAATTCCCAACTTAACCTTGAGGCAACACTGAATTTTCCGTGCTCTACCCGATTGTCCACGGCATCACTACACCTTAACTCAACCTCAACCCTAATTACAAACGACTTTCCCAGAGATGTACAATTTTTCATAAACACCGCACTTGGGGGTGGCTTTCGTCGCGGCTTCTAAGAGCTGCCACGGATGGAAGGATGCTTAGACCAGACAAGCGTAACGCACGAAAGAAAATTCACGACTCCACGGGTTGATAGAGGAACTCTTAAAAGCCCATCACAAGCTACGCCAAAATCCTTAATCAATGGGAATAAACAAATAACGGAACTAAGTGAGGAAAAAGGTAAATCATGGCTCCAGAACCCAATGCACGATCGAACTATACATTTGCAGCCCTTAATCGTCCGAAACCTCGAGACCAAATCACGCGCAACGTCCACAAGTGCCGAATTAGAATACCGCGAATCACACTGTACAACGCTATCGGGCAACGGAACCAAGCGAGAGAGCAAGGCCAATATCACTAGGCACAGAATCAAGAGATGATGGGAGAGGACAGGAAATACGCAGGGACAAACAGCGAGTAAGCTCCGGCACAGAAACCCGAGCAGAGGAGAAAAGGCGATGTAAAAACACGCACACACACAAACACACAAACACTCACTCACACAAGGAATCATCCCCCCCTGGAGGAGACGATGTTCCCCTGCGTTCCTTAGACGGTCCCGACGCTCGGCTATAGGGAACTACATTCGGATGAACGTTGCGCTGTCGATGGCCTCGTCGTCGTCCAGCTCACCTTGCCTACGTGGCATAATTGCTAAGTTGTTCATTTGGAATGGTTTCAGATGAGTCTGAGGAGTGAGTGTCCTGCATTTAACAATAGAAGATGGATGGATGATACAAACGCATCTGGATTTTTCTTTACATTCATCCATGCATGCATCCATTATTAGATGGTGAGACATTTCTGCCACTGAAAATGGGTTTTGGCTTTTGAAATATTTGTTGTAAAGATTTTGGATGTGGTGACGTGGATTTTCAAGCTAATCTAATCAGCAAGCTCTGATTGGCGTGTATTTTTTGTTTGGTATTTTTATTCAAGTTGCACACCAACTGGAGTAGACAATGTTGTCAAATACACTAGCTTCACTAGATAGCAAAAAGAGATGTATGGGGGATTGTTAAATTGACTCAAGCATTTATTAAATTGACCCACCCATCCTAACCATCATTAAAAAATTCTCCACTGCCCGATCTGCATTGGTTTAAAACCAATAAAAAAAAATGGTTGGATCCACAACCAATGATGATGGGTTGGTTGATTTAGTAGATGTGTGGATCATTTTAGCAGTGCCCTACATATAAATATATGGAAAAAATGCAATTCTTCATGAGTTTGAAGCTTGAAAAATATTATCAAGGTCATTGTTTGTACTATTTTAACTATATTTATTAAGTTGCATTGTATGTTTCAATTGAATACCCTTGATTTGTTTCACGTGTCACAAATAGCATAAATAAGTAAAATCAAAATAGATTAATGTACACTGTGAGCAGTAATAAAGTAATACTATTTTTTATTGATCATTTTAATAATATTATTAATTTACTATGTTCATAATTATATATTTATAGAGTAATTTTTATTAAAATATATTAATAATTTTTTAATAATTTAAAAACATAATGATCAGAATCTTTATATAAATTATTAAAAATGATACAACATAAATTATATTACCAAACTCTTTATTTTTTATATACAGCTCTAAAATGTGAATAATACTCTTACAAAAATGATTAAATTATTGTTTTAAAATTATTAAAGATTAGAATACTAATATACAAAAATTTCATGAATTTAATTCAAAATTTAACAAAATATTTTACCATTAGAATTATCTCCATTTAAATTAGAGGACCAATAAATATATAAAAGAACCAAGAATAACCGTTATTTAATATTTATTCCTGTTAAAAAAGATTAAAATTACTTGATACTAAAATTTGTGGTTCTGGTTCTAGATGCTCAATATACATATGTCAAGATTTAAGTGAATAAAGTATTAAAAAAAAATTTAATTTAATTACTTTAATAATCAGATAAGATTTTATTTATTGAAATGTAGTTGAAATCGTCACAGTCATATTTAATGAAAAACGACATATTAATATAATACATATGTTTTTAATGGCATAGAAAGTTGAAATATAATTGCTGCCAACAACCATGTAAAATGACAGCTTTCATATACAACTAGATTGTTGAATGTGATTCCACAAATTCTGAATACTTTAACATAAAAAGATATATTATATTTTTTCTGGAAAAAAGATCAAAAGAAAATTAATTTTCATATATATATATATATATATATACAGATCTATAAAATAAACTCACATTGAAATTTGAGATCTTCATGACGAAATGCAAAAATCTGGATGATATTAATGAGTTGCAAAAATCATAAATTTATCCTTTTACATTGTCGATGTCATGTTGTAGAAAATGGTACAAACTTAGTGAATGTATAACAGGACATTATATGATTCCATTTTAAGTTTTAAATTTATCTGCAAGCAGCAACACAGTAGCCCAGCCTTTGTCTTTTCAAGCTCTTGGTCCTGACTTAAGCAGTTGAAAGACAAAAAACAAAGGACATAAATTAATTTTTGCATAGGTCAAAATTTTACTTTAACTTCATAAGTACAGGATTCACAAGAATTCAGAGGATGTTTTAATAACACTCGAATGTTAACCACATTTCACAAAAAAGAATGTCCCCCAAATTGGAGATTAACTGGAATTGATAGGAACTATTTCAATGTTCAACTGCACACAAGTTTAGCAAAAAGAATGATAACTCTTTGTCTTGGGATTTCATTGCAGATGGCGTGAAGTGTAAATCATTACCTATAACCAACAGCAAGCATTTAGTTCCTGAACAAATTGTATGACTCTAAAGCACACCGAAAGCATGAGTAAAGTAGTAATATGTACCTTCACTGAAGTGGGTGGCAAACCAGATAGATCTATCAATCCCTTGTCAGCCAGACTACAGAGAGTCTTTTGCAGCTTGTTTGACTGCCTCTGCTGCTGCTGCTCCACCTCACGTTGCAGCTACTGCTCAAGCTTCAGCTTCCCACGTTCCCTGTGATTTACAGACATCACTAACTCTCTCTGCAGGAATCGCACAACTTCAATGGTCCTGCCAAAGACTACGTGCAAGCTACTTGAATTGTGGGTTAAGTCGATAATCTACAATATTTACCTCAAGTAGAGCAAGAGCAACATCAGGCTCTGCAATCTTGAAGACAAGATGGTCAAGCAGAGCCGTCGGTCACCTTCGTACCGCTGGGATCGACCAGACGTTCAGTAAAGGGTTAATGCCCCTTAAACTGCAACTACCCTCCGAATTGAGACCACATTCGATTAAAGTAGCTCTGCCATAACGTAAACTTGGGCATTATCTCAGAGTCAGTAGGAGATTCGTTACCATCGCACCAACTAAACCCTGGTCAGCTCCTTGAGATCCTTTCACTCTTGAACCTTTCTGATTAACGACAGTAGCGAAGCATGGAGGGAATAGCATGGAGGGAATAGATCGACTTCCATTCACAGGACGTCTCTCGTAATTTAGCAAAACAAGCCTTGTACCAGATGATGAAAGTAACTAGGATATAACCACTAGCGTAAGTACGGCGCAGCCCCTCATTTACCGAGCAGCGTCGTTGTAGGGCAAATGCCAACATTCCTTGCAGAAAGCTCAGAGCAATTTTCATCACCTAAGCCCCGGATTTTGTTTTTCATAATGTTCCTCGCTTGAGAGCACAGGCACTCTTCCCAATCCACACTAATGCAGCATACTAAGTTGCTTAGAGTGAAGAAAAGAAAAGAAATGTCACCCATGGGTAAGATAATAACATCAAAGTCCTAATAAAGTGTTAGATTCACGTCCAAAACAAAAATTTCAAACATTTCAAAAAAAATCGATAAATCGCTCTTTCAGCTTAAAATTCACTATAAAAAGTACTTGACTGTCAAACATTAGATCAACGACATTCTTCAGATATGCTCACCAATGTTGAGGACAGCTTTACCGCATGAAGATTTCCTCAACCCATTTTATTAGGACTAATTATTCTTTAGACTTGATGTCTACAGAAATAGAATTTTTTGTGGCTGAAAATGCATGAACAATTATCAACGTTTTGTATCATCTATCAGTAATGTTAGTGTGACGAAATATGCTGAATGTCAGCAGATAATATCACCAGAAAAACCCACTTCACTCCATGCAAATGAATCAAAGACGCTGCCTTGGTGTATTGTCAGCTTAGAATCAGTATTATCCTTCGCCTAGTGGATTTCACATCCACATAATTTGAGGTCACAATGGATAACAGAAACTAAAATGACTGTTAATTTTCATGGTAAACTCCGACTTATCACAACATTACAAGATGAGAAAATAACAAACCTGGACTTGCCAATGAACGAGCTGAGAGGAGGTTTCATCTCTGTCCCAAGAATAGCCACACACCTCAAGTGCTGTTCGCGAAAGTCCAAACTACGCCCAGCGTAGTATTTTCAGAGTTGCTTTTCGGTCAACTACACCACCATCTGTGAGACTTTATCTAATTTAATTGAGCACGAGTTGGACTCATGTCCTAAGCACTTCCCTGTGCCATACATCGCAGGAATTCATGTGGTTGACTGAGAGGAGCAACTGCCAGATGAGTGTTTTAACAGTATCTGCCACCAAAGGGTCTCCTTGATAGTACATACTCCCATTAAATAATTCACAGCCCACGCGTCTGTATCTATTCAGTTCGTGAGGAGGTGTCTGTAAGGTCACCCCACTTCCACAAGATAATTTAAGTCAGCATAATCGTACAATTCTGATCTGCACTCTGTACCTTAAGGAATTTCTGCATCTACGGTGGAGAAGATATGTGGATACCGTACCGCATCATTCGGCAAATTCAGTGACAGTGTTAAATTCCGAGGAATCGCCGAATCCGCACATGCTGAGGAAATAGCGAATTACTCAAACTTTACAATCTCCTAGAAAGATAGTATGCTCATTACAGTAACCGACATCCACTGCTCCCCAGAATACAATGTGAAAATTTTATACACGTAAGCCTAATTCTATGGCACAAGTCGCCATAGGGTTAGGTTGTAATCACGAACCGAAACAACATGAATTTGAGAGCACGTGGTTCCAGAGACATAGTGTGAGCTAAAATAATCCTCCACTAGTTGGAAGTTTATTATAGTTCACAACAAGCCATTTTATTACAGAAAATCTTAGAAATTTTAGTGCTTATTTAAACTTTAAACAATTCACACTTAAAACTCCTTAATTCATCCACAAAGTCAAGCAAAATCTCTAGTACCAAATCACACTTCTAATAATTAGTCACTTGACAATTTTCATGCAATTAAAAAACTCAATAATAAGATATTTATTATTATTATTATTATTATTGTAATTCAGTCTTTATTTAATTAAAATTCATCCATTGAAAAATTTCATCCTTGATTTCATCCTTGAATAACAATTCATCTACATACTTTATTCATATTTAAAATTTTATCTTTGAATTAAGTTTCATCAAACATCCACTCATCCAAGCTCTAAATTATTTTAACCCTACTTTGTTCAATCCTAATCTAACTTCATTTGAAGCTAATCTATGATTGTTTAATTTCAACCTCATCTACTATAATTCATTCTACCTTAGATTTCAATCTATATCTACTTCTCACTCTATAGGATATTTGGTAAAGAGTAGGTGCCAAATTGCACAAAAGTGACACTAGAGTAACAACAATTGTTGCAACTTCTCATTTGAACAGACCACAACTACTAACAAAGGAATTGAAGAAGTGTGAAGCAACTCAAAATAATTGCCATCTATCCCTTGCAGCACTTCAAGTTGCTTTTGACCTTTATAAATTGTACCCAAGGATAGAACAAAAAATCCTTTGCTCCTAAATTACAAGAAGGTAAGACTAATCAAGTTCACGACACTGCAGTCTCTTTGCAATTCAACAAGTTCAATAAGGAAAGGACCTTAACACACATGCAGCCAATATAATTTGACCACCGCATGTACCAAAATGGAGTAGAACCTACAAATAACCAAATCATTGCACTATACTTTTTTGAATTTCAAACTAGAAGAGAACACAAAAGAAAAAGAAAAAAAAGAAAAAAACCATAGCTGAAGCTTCATCGCCACTTCAATTGCAACTTTTCAACCTCCAATATTTCCATATTCAATTGCCAACATACAAACTAAAGCATGCAATTAGACTTGATGTGATTCTACTTGCAATCAATGCCAAATGCAAACATACAGCCACCACAACAATCAAAAGAAAAACCAACTCTTGTTGTATTTCAAAAGAAAAGAAAAGAAACAAAAAACAAAAAACAAAATACAAATCCAATTGTAACACAAAAAATAAAAATAAGACATAGCAGAACATAGAAGTAAAAGCCACCACAATGTTGCCACTCTAGAATTCATGAGGCCTCATATGCCCAATAGATGCTCTATATAATAAGCTTAGGGAAGTTTAGGATTTGGCCTCGCAATGTGCAGATCAAACAAATCTACTGCCACCGCTGATGCTCTTTTAGATTCGAAGCTCTACACATATCCACCTCCATATGACTCTAGTCCTTGATACAACACAACTACTTTGAACCAGCAACCAATCTTAGAAAATAGAATAATTAAAAAAACAAGAAGAACCAAAATGGCTTTTCAAACATAATTGCAGACCTAGAATCAATGATGACATTTAACCAAATCGCTACATTGACAATGCCACTTGATCCACAACTCTCTTCTCTGCATTGCAAGAGAAGAAAAAAATACAATAACCTTGAATTCTACAAAACATTGCCACTTGAATTTAGAGCTCAGAAGCCAACTGCACTACTTTGAACTTCTGCCATACACCGACCACTTATTGAACAAGGAAAAAAAACTAATTGGATTATCATCATGAATATCTAATAACAAATACACTTCCATTGGAAACCACTCAATAGAACAAAAGAAATATTGTAACTACATACTCATGTATACAACACAACTAAGAAAACGTAGAGATGGAATCTAGGGCATTCATCAAATTCAAATTCAAATTCAAAAAAACCAATTAAAACAAGAGAGGCAAGGATCTAGGCGACTAGATTCCTATCAACAAAGAGGCTGCCACTAATCTTGGGCAACCTCTTGCACTTTTCATTACATTTTTTTTTTCTCTCTCTCTTCTCCTTTTCTTTCTTCTCTTCTTTCTCTTCTTCTCCTTCTTTTGATTTCATTTTCCTCCACTATTCTTTATTGCTTTTCGTTTCTCTCCCTATTCTTAATCTTTTTCTCTTCTATTATTTCCATTCCATTTTATTTATCTATAGCTATCAATGTGTTTTTCTTTTTGTTTAGTTTTGGATCAAGAATTCTACTTAAATTATAGACCAATTAAATATTTAATAGAGATAAGACTACTACTAAAAAATCATAAATTTCTATTGGCTAATCTAAAAAAAGATATGTAATTTAAAATCCCTTCTCAAGGACAACTCTACAAGATATCCATTCTTGCAACTAACATTCTGTTATATTTATTTATTTATTTATTTTTCTATCAAAACTCCTACACTAACTCACTAAACTAGTGACTCTAAGCCATAAGTGCATTTTTTATAATAAAACACACCAATGAGTCAAGTCCGTGGCTCATATACATAGATTGTTGAGTACAGAGTTCAAATCTCACCAACAAAGAAGCAATTTGACCAAAATCTAGAACTTCACCATATGATACTGAGCCAACATGGCTTGCATTCCAACTTTGTGTCTGGAACCTATTGTATACGTACAGTCAAAGAAATGGGATAAACGTTCTTCACAATGCTAGCAACAAACGGCCTCTTGAAACACTGCCAACCCTTGATAAATTCATCCAGGCACCGACTTGCAAGCTGGGGATATAAATCTCAATGCACTGCATGCAATAACAAAAGTCGATCGAAAAACTGTTCTTCCCAATTTGAAGCAAAAAACAAGAAGACCAAAGTACCAGAAAACCAATGAGCGGTGTTTATTTTTCGGAATCTGATGGAACAAAGACAAACGAAGGTTTACCAGGACCAAAGTTGTCCGCGCTCGCAGCACTCCAACCCATTTTGGTTCGAAGATTCAGCACAAGGAGTAAACATCCAGGGCTCTTGCTCATCTTCCCCTCCTCGGTAGTTGCACGTCGGCTGAATAGCATCATGAGAAGAACAATGCCAAGGGTGCATGAGAGCGATGCCCACCCACTCATGCATAAGACTGGAACTGGTGGAGATTCCTCGTTGATCAATAATCTCCCGTGTCTCTCACGTTGGTGAGGATTGCCGGGAATCGGTGTGCGCACAGGGTTTGCAGCGGAGTAAATAATAGATTTGCTAGCTCCACGCAGAGCTACTGTAAGTTGACGATCACGTCATCGACTGGTCTTGTTCATCGTGGGGACTTTTTCGTCTCCACCAACAGGTCCTTGCCACACGGGGAAGGCTTCCAGCTGTACCCCCCAACGAGGTGAAAGAATCATGTGGTGATAGTTTGTTCACAACGCTCGTGGCATGAATAAACTATATGGGGGTCAGATCTGTGTTGTGAATGAACGGATCTGACCCGTTCAAACCTTTCATAGCAGCGAGTGTTTCAATTCGTGTTATTGAGACTGCATCGAAGTCCGTTGGTGTGATTGCATCCGGTTGCAAGCTCGAAAAACTCTGAATCCCGGGCTTCTGGCTTGCGCCAGTGATTTTGTAGGGCGTGATGGCTGGGCGTTGCTGCTGAAAGCCTCAGAGGTAGGTTGGTGGGGTTGTAGGTATACAGTCTATTGCAGCGATTTTCGAATGTGTTGGGATCTGGTGGGATCGTAATCGTGATATCGTATTTTTTGGATCGGTGGGCTTAGGGATTAGGAATGTGGATTTCCATGATTTCGGAGTAAGGCTATGATGATGTTTCTCGAGGCGAACTGGGATTTTTGTGGGGGATTGACGTAATGCTTGTCGACTAAATCCGCTGATGACAGGTCTATATTGTACTCTCGGGAAGAGGACGAAGATTGAAGCGAAGATCTGATGATGGACAGATAAGTGGAAGGGACGATCACAGCTTTGATTGACTATCCTGCGCGATGGAGCGAGAGCGTTCAAATTGGCAGAGTTACCGGGTTGTGCGATGGGCCAGAACAAAGGTTTACAAGCCAGTCATGGTGATTCTGCGAAGGTATTGCCCCCCTGTTTCTGAACTCAAATCATGAAAGATCTTCTTCACAGTTTTCCATCCCCATTTGATTGATCCATGCTATGCTTGTGCCACTCACAAGGGAGATCGCTGTGTTGAATTGGCAGAGGAGTGGAACCAAAGCAGCTGGCCCTCTCGGCGGCTCTGGGCATGACTCTTGGTGTATTTCCAATCTGCGGCGTCACAGTCATCTTCTGCGGCATAGCAGTGGCGTTGCTGGCCAAGAGGTGCAATGGCCCAACGATGATGCTGGCGAATTTTCTAGCCACCCCCTTGCAGATGAGCTTAATGGTACCCTTTCTCCGGGTGGGTGAAAGAATGGTGGGTGCCAGTCCATTCGCGTTGTCGAAGAATGCGCTCTGGCAAGCTCTCACAGGGAAAGCGTCAGGCGAGTTGGTCACCGCCATAGGTCATGCATTACTAGGGTGGCTGGTTTCCAGCCCTTTCCTTTTCGTGGTGTTGTATGCTTGGCTCCTGCCATTCACTCGGTGGGCGCAGAAGCGGCTTGGAAACCGAGATCAGCTGCCTAACAGAGCTCATGTCGCAATCGATTGACTCCTTTTCATTGTCAAGAAACAAAATTCTGGGGATTTTAAGCAATTTTTTAATTCTTCACCGTCAGCTTGGATGTTTTGGTTCTCTGCTGGCAGCAACAGCCCTAATCTTATCCCGCTGAGAGGTGACATCGGCGGCAGTTTTCTTCACTTCATAAGCTCCATTGGCTTGCATTTCTTCTACTGCCTGACAGACAAGCTCGGCAATCAGGTGCACCCAAACTTAATTGCAAGCTTTACTTAGGCCTTCCAATCTGCTGCCCCTTCTCATATCAATTACATTACTCTTTCAGTGAGTACCATGCCGGTGACTGTAACATTTCCTCATCGGTGAGCCTGATGATAAGATGCTTTGAGCGATGCGCCAATTTATTAGTGAAGAACTTCACCTTTCAATCCCCCCCCACCCCATTTAGTGATCAACTCATGTCTCCTTCTGGATATGCGCTCTATCATTATATTTGTTCTTTGTGAACATCTCTTCTATTTGTCCAGTTTCTTTTAGCAATTTCCTCTCTCTCTCTCTCTCTCTCTCCAGCATGACAGAATTGATCAGTTGTGATGGCCCTCTAGTTCTGGCAGAACAAGCACTGCAAGTACGTTGTGCTTGGTGCTTGCGGAGATTTAGATTGTATTGTTTTATTCATTATTGCTTTGGAACTTCCGAGAGTTAAATAGCTGTTAATTCAAGAAATCTAGTGCCAAATGCAATGATGGAACACCTAAAAACATATAATTTCAAGACTAAAATTATATATTTACACAAAAAAAATGTGTAGTTGTGCTTGTGCATATATGTTTATATATACAGAGAGAGAGACACATACACATATATTGGTTGAAATTTGTGTTAAGTGAACCAAAAATATTAGTAAATATTAGTAAATATTTATTTTGCTTTATTTTTGCTTTTGTGTGTGTGTATATATATATATATATATATATATACAATTGATGGCCTATATTTGCATAAAGGAGAAGATTTTGTGTCTATTTCCACAATAGAGGCATGATTGACAATGTAAACATTTCCAAGTAAATTCTTATTTACTTTATCAAAATCTTCATTCAAATTTTCTTCTTTATATACAAGATTTTAAATTCAATTCCATGAATATTTCAGATAAGGTGCATGTGGCTCCTTGGTCAATAATGAGGCTAGTTATCTCTCTAGTTGATTTAAAGTTTAATTTTATTTTTTAACTTTAAAAAATAATATATTGAAACGATTGTGAATAAGTTTCAGATACAATAAATATGCAAAGTCATTTTTTAATCTCTCAAATATAATTTATTATATTTTAAAATGCTATTGTGCATATTTTTAATATCCATGTGTTTTAAAACAAACGTAGATTAATGTACAACATAAATTGTTGTATAAAAAGATTATAAAGATTAAATCCAATGATGATATTTTATTTGATATTTTATTGATAACTTATACATTTTTTTTGTGTTCGTTATTTTAATTACAAGTCATAAATAAATAATAAATATAAAAAATAATTTTTAAAAGATAAATTAATATACAAATAATATCTTAATAAATTTATTTATTATATTTATCACATGTTTTATTTATTTTTATATTGCAATGATATATATATATATATATATATATATACCTACATACATATTAAAATTGATTCAAATAATATTTTATTTATAAATATAAAAATTTTAAATTTAAAAATATCTAATTAAAAAATATTTATAATTGAAACAAGATTTTCAAAAGATACTTGATTTATATAGAATTATTTTTTATCTATATAAAAAAAGGTCTATAATAGAATAAATCATTAAAATTAAAATCTTAATATGAAACAAGATTAACATAATTTTAAAAATAAGAATAAGATATTATTACCTTAAATATGGTTAAAAGATGGTAAAAGAATGAAAATAAGTTACTATTATGACAACTAGGGTTTTAAGTGGCGGCTATATTAAGAAGAATCTAGGATTTAGTTAGATGAAGCAAAGTTGGATGAAGTTGATTATAGATGAAGTTCAACTACAATAAATATAAATTACTCTTATAAATAAAGGATATTGGAAGTGAGAGATATTTCATTCCACATCTCTCTTGTGTACAATATTTCTAATTTCTACTTACTTGTGCCTTGCTTGTTGTATTTCTTCAATAGGTTATGAGTCCACACATACTTTGTAGTGCCATTCAAGTAAGTTGATATCATTCTCTAGTGGTTGTACTTGTGTAGAATAGATCTTATGGTGTTTATTGATGTTAGGATTTGTACAATCTAAATTTAAGCTTTGGCATGAAGAGGTGCTGATTTTGAATTTATAGATTTTTAATATTGCTTTGTGGATTCCTAATTCGTAGAATTGTGAGTTTAAGATCTTATAGAAAGACTTTGATATTGTTTTTTTTTTTTTTTGTATTATTGAAGTTGTTTCACTTACCTTGTGTATATTGTGAAATATTTGGTTTAAAAGAATAAAAGATCTTGATATTAAGATTCATTGGAGTGAACATACTTGTCAAAAGCTTCAAAACTTGAATTAAGAGTGTTTTGAAGCTTCTAACAAGTTGAATTAAGAGTGTTTAGAAGCTTCTAATGGTAATTTGCAAGAAGGTATTCTAAGATTCTACTAGTATGAAATTGTTTTGGTGATTTTGAGCACATAGAGACTTCTTTTTTTGATATCTTTTAATAGAACTCTTTTTAGATATAGCTTCTAATGAGGGTGAAGGTTTGAGAGTAATTGAAAAGTTTAGAGGGAAAAATTTTTACCATTAGAAGGTCAAAATGGAAATTTTGTTGACATCTTTGGACCTTTGGAATATTGTAGATGAAAGTGAAGAACCTCCAAATATACCTGCAGATACTAAAGAGTGGAAGGACTTCAAAAGATGTGAAAAGAAGGCTTATGGTATAATTGCCACCAATTTGAATGAAGCTAATTTATCTCACATTATCTTTTACAAAGGACCAAGAGAAGTATAGAAGACTCTTTACAATATGTATGAGAGCAAGAACTTGTCCAACATCATCTTCACAAGGAAGAAATTCTTCAATTGCAAAATGGAAGATGGTGATGACTTCATAGCTCATGTCAATAAGATAAGGTCTCTTGCAAACCAACTAGCAATTGTTGACGAGCCTTTACACAAAAGTGATATTGTCATGATCTTTCTTATAAGCCTTCCCCAGTCCTACAGCTATTTCATTGTGGTATTTGAGTCCATCAAATTAAAGGAACTTACAATGAACTATGTAATAGCAAGACTTGTCTATGAAGTGACTAAGAAGAAAGAAAAAGAGCCTCAAAGTGAAGATTTGGCCCTTCTTTCAAAACAAGGCAAATAGAGCTATTCAAGTCTAAGTGTCAAGGACAAGAACTCGATAAAAAAAATAATTCAAATAAGTGAGCATTCACTCAAAGAGAGATAACAAAATATATATAAACAGGTATATATATTGAAAGAGAAACTGGAATGGCTATTACCAAAAGACAAGAAAACTAGAGACCCTTGAAATAGACTAGAAGCAAGAAAGGAGTTGACAAGAGTGAAGAAGCCTTCACTCTTGTCTCTATATATACTATCTAACTAGGGGCTACGTGGCGACGTTCTATAGGACCTCCAATATGTGTTGACTTTGTAGGACACATGCCTTGACTTACAAGACAAGTTTTTCTACGTGTGGGCCACATAGTTAGCTTGATCTTCAAGCTAACAACATGTGTGGCACATGGCCAACTTGTTGACCACGTTTCTAATCCAAAAAGTCAATTAAAGACACCTATGAAGTCAAAGCAGCGTCTAGGAAATTTCTAGGAAGCTTCTATATTAAATATTATAGAATTAACTTATTTTTACCTACTTTTACTTACTTCTACCTATTTCTATATGTAATTATTAGCTTACATGATTATGGCCGTGACACTAAGTGGAAATATAAGAACTTACTTCATTTATAAAAAATCAAGTCATTTTGCATGAAATTCCTACAAGACAAAAAAGAAAAGATAGAAAAAATACCAACAATGTACATGAGCAATTTGTAGGAGATGATTTTGTATTTATAGCAAGTAAAGGCACTTCTATGGCTACCATATCTAAGTGGATTGATAATTCAAGTTCTATCAAGTATATAACTTTATATAAGTATTCATTTGATACTTATAAAGAAATTTTGGCAACAAATATTTTTATAAGAGACAATAGCATGGTAGAAGCGAATGGAATGAATTCCATTATATTGAAGATTGTTGTAGGAGAACAAGTCAAGAAGATCAGATTGATGGATGGCTTGCATGTATCCAAGATCAGGAAAAACCTTTTTTTTGTGAGTAAACTAGTTTTACATGGTTGTAAGATGCAATTTCATAAAAATGGATACATTGTAAAGACATTGAATGGAGATGATATTGTTAAGGACTTTAGAGATGACAATCTCTACTTCATGAAGTATAAGAAGGTGACTCGAATTGAAGTAGCTGTATTTTCTAAGTTTTCACACAATCAATATAAATTTGGCATTTGACATCAATGCCTTGGTCATTTAAATGCTAAGAATATGAAAAAACTCCAATCCATAATAAGTGACTTGGATCTTAGACAATCATGCAAGAATGCCATGATTCTTACTTGTAAAGGTTGTATCCAAGGTAAATAACAAAGGCTCCATTTTAAAGTGGAATTGCAATATGTGTAAGTAAGTTGTTGGAGATTGTGCATTTAGATTTTTATAGACCAATAAGAATGCTATCAATTGGAAGAGCAAGGTACTTTGTCACATTTATTGATGATTTTTCAAAGAAGATATGGATTTTCATCTTCAAATCCAAGAGTGAGTGCTTTTCAAGATTTAAGGAGTTTAAGGTACTTGTCAAAAAACAATGTGATTGCAAGATCAAGGTGTTGCTCAAAGACAATGGAAGTGAATATTTATCAAAGTACTTTGATGATTTCTTGAAGATTCAAGGTATTATAAGACAAATATCCTCTCCTTATATTCTACAACAAAATTGAATTGTTAAAAGAACAAATCAAATCATTATGGAGATGGCAAGGAATATGATATATGCTTAATATCTTAGGCATGAGTTTTGGATAGAAGTCATGGTTAATACAATGTATACAAAGAATAAGTATTGTACAAGTGAATTCACATCAATGGCTCTAGAAAAAACATGGAGTAAGAAGAAACTTTGAGTTTCATATATAAAGACTTTTAGATGTATTGCTTATACAAAGATACCAAATTGTATGAGGTCCAAATTTAATGCAAAAGATAAAAATGTATGTCTTTTGGATATTATAAAGGTACTAATATATACAAGATAATGTGTTTGGATACCAAGAAGATTATCAAAGATTATGATGTTGAATTTTTAAAACATAAGAGTACTTGTGAGCACTTGGAAATGTGTCTAAGTAGGAGCAATGGTATATTTGTGGACACATTTTTAAATTCAATAAAGAAAGAAGAACATAAAGATAATGAAGATAGTAGAG